CAGCACAGGCTCGTATGTTGTTTGTTTCTATTTTTCTTTCCATATTGTCATTTCTGTTGAATTTGGAAGCAATGACAGGATATGCTTTCCATCTAGTTCAGGAGTGTTTAAAATAAACCCAAACGAGGGCATGTTCCCCTGCTCGGCTTTTCAGGACGCAGCCGGCCGGAGCACCCTGCCCCATCCCCGCAGTCACCGTCCCCCTTCCAGGAGCCCCGGGAGGACCCATCCCTCCATCCCTCCCCACCCTGGCAGCCAGCATCCTGCAAAGCCTCACCGGCTCCCTGGCGAAAAGGGACCTGGCAGCTTTTCTTCAGATTAAAATACCACCCAGCTCTGCTGCGCTTTTGTTTTTAAACGCCTGAATGCATTAGCATTGATTTATTTTTAATACAACCAACCACCTGCGATTTTGAATATTATTTCTATTTGTTCTCTCTGGCAGAGGTAATTACAGCGTTGTTGGTAAGCTGTGCTTGCAGCCTCCCAGCCGTGCTGCCCCGGGGACAGCTTGGGGACAGCGGCGCCAGGTACAGGTGTGTGTCCGTAACATGCTGCTCTGCCCTCAGTGGCAGCAAATATTTCCTTTATTCAGCGCTTGTATGGAGCTGCATGGGTTGTAAGGGGGCCTGAAAAGAAAGAAAAAGCCTTTTTTAATTTTTTTAAATTTTTTTTCTTAATCTCAACAGGCCTTCAGCATCCTCTTTGAGCAAGCCCACAGCCTTTTCCTGCCCTCAAGCCTGGGAAAAGAGCAGAGAGGTCCAAGGTCACGGGTAAAGAGAACAGCCCCGCAGCTCTCCCCTTACCTCCTCGAATGCTCGTTCCTGAGCAACTCTCAGCAATGTTTCACATCACCTTGCACGTATAATGGAAGTACGGGCAGGAACTCGCTAACAAATGAGCCCCTCCTGTCATTCCATGTGCTTACACTGCTTATTTTTCTCCCGCATAATTATTTTTAAAGGAAAATTTAATTTTGTTTAATGGAACAAAGTTTAACACTCCATAAGCTTCATCTTCTGCAGCCCTCCATCTGGTAAGCTGCTTTTATTTTTTCTTTTTAAATTATTTTTAAACCATCCCAGTAAATTGTGTGTGTTTAAGAGGCACTTCTCGTTAAGATGAAATACTTTGATCTCATAGGATCATCTGTTTTTAAAGAGGTAATGATATACTGATTTATTTTTTTTTTTCTGCCAGCTACCCCAGTCTCACCAGTGCCCGTGTCCCCAGTCTGCCCAGCACACCCACTGACACTTGCCCCGCTGACACTGCAGCAACCAGAGCTGCTGGGAAGGAAAAAGGGGTCACGAGAAGCGCTTCGAGAGGGCACAGCAGGGACCACGAAGAAGTAAGTGGCAAATCATCTCAGGAAAGGGAAACGTTCAAATTATTTATTTATTTCTAAGTACAGATGGCGTAGGGGGAAAAAAGGCTGCGAGAAGGCCAGGAGACACGGGTGTGCTATATATAGACATACAGCTGTTTCCTTCAGGTGTTATAACTCAAAAACATAGGATGATTAATTTTGAAAGTTGAAATGTATAGCAGATTCTGATTACATCTGAGTGTCTATAATTTAGCTACTTAGTAAAATTAACTTGACGTTTTTAGTGAGCTGTGAGGACAATAACGTGTGAAGAGACTGAAGAACAAGTTTGACTGCATGCTCTTCCCTTACCTCCCCCTTTTGTCAATTTGCAAAGTTTATTTTTAACTTTTCCCATTTTTCTGGCATCTTTCCTCTCATCCAGACAAATGGGTTTGCCTCCCCCTGCTGCCAGGACGTGTTGGCGTTGAGCTTTCGTCTCCCTGGAGGGATGAGAGGTGCCAGTGCTCTGCAGCCACGACGTGAGCTGGAGGTAGGGACCGTGGGTTGGGATCTCAGAGGCACGTGTGGTTTTTTTGGAGCTTTAACTTTTCCCATTTTTCTGGCATCTTTCCTCTCATCCAGACAAATGGGTTTGCCTCCCCCTGCTGCCAGGACGTGTTGGCGTTGAGCTTTCGTCTCCCTGGAGGGATGAGAGGTGCCAGTGCTCTGCAGCCACGACGTGAGCTGGAGGTAGGGACCGTGGGTTGGGATCTCAGGGGCACGTGTGGTTTTTTTGGAGGATGACCCCTCCAGGAAGGCTGCGGGCCCTCCCATTAAATCCATTTTCATACTTTAGAGAAGTGAACTGGTGAAAAGCAGGTTCTACCAGGGACCCCAGAAACAAGCCCCTTGGCTGTGCAGGGCTTTGTGTCGGTTTTCTTTAATAAAACCTCAAGTGCACAAGGAGGGTGTGGGGGTACAGGATTGGGCAGATCCTCCCGCTAACCAGCACCGAGGACCAGATTATCTGTGACCTCTGTGATACCCACCCATTGTACTGGCAGCCCCCCAGGGCTGGGGAGTGCAGGTCTGCCCACAGGGAGGATGCAACAGCGCTGACCAGTTAGTGTCAAGCTGCGATTTAGAAGCAAAGGGATTTGGAGTGTCTGTGTGGTGTTTAGAGTTTGATATTCAGCTAACTGTCGGGAAACTGATTTGAAGGAACCAAAGATCTAGTGGAAGGGAGGGGAGCTCCAATTCTTTTTTTTTTTTTTCTTTTTTTTTTTCCCTGCGAAAGCCTGCTACACACAGGTTATTTTCTAGGGCACCGTATCCAAAGACCCAATATAACCACAATCCTGTGCTTAGATTTCCCAGACCTGGTGCTAAGCTCCTTGGATGCCACAAGCAAGTCACCTTTACAGTGGGGACATCACCAGCTTGGGAGTGGGGGGATCACACTTGGTGTGTAATTCATTGAGTTCAGTGAAGCCATGATTGCACCATAAAAAGTCTGCTTTTACAACCAAAAACACTTTAAATTATGGTCTTGGCTAGGGTTAAGCTGAACTGTTTTTCCCAGTTCCCGGTACCTCTACCACCCCTGACCCCCACGGCCAGTGCAGACTGGATTAATTTTAGTTAAACTCAGGAAACTGAGTTAATTTTAGTTAAACTCAAATGTGGCTTCTTTGTTCAGTAAGTGCTCAAAGGTTTTTAACAAAGTAACACAAACACATTTGTGATTTTTTCATTTTAATGGTCTGATTCTAAGTAATATTTTCAGACCTAGCATCAATCTAAGTTTCTAACAGGGCAATAAGAAAGCTCAGCATCAGGCAGCTTCCAGAAGGATCTTCCAGATATGTTTAAAATGCTTTAAAATATTAAACATTTCTCACATTGCTACAAAACAAAGATAACTGGCATAATTTTTTTTTTTTTAACCTACATTCTTTTAGCAGTAGAGAAACAGTTTGGAAGGTAGATCACATTCTTGATTCACTGTACCAACAAATAGTTTTATAACATGAGAAGTACAAATATAAAATTTCAAATGAGCCAACTGTAAAAAAAAATCTGGATTTTTCTTCAATATCTCCAGTACCTTGCTTTGTAATAAATATTAAAAACCATCTTTTACATTACAGAAAATGTTAAATAAGTTATGTACCAAAAGATGTCTTTTTTGTCCTTTTTTTTTTTTTGGTCACAGGCTGATTCCATTAGAAGAGCTGAACAAACATTTTTTACACCAATAAATAGTAAGGCATAAAGAAGCAAACAATCACAGGACTGGTCTTCATTAGCAGAACTTCAGAGAATCCTTTTTTTGCTGGTATAAGAAGGTGATTTTTGACTCTCAGCTGCTGGGACCTGGTAAGAAAAGCAGTAATTATTACTATTTTACAGTACTTCAAATGCACACAATTTGTCCCTGCCCCTGGGCCATAATGCTGTGAAAGGATCTGCAAATAGGAGCTTCTGTGTTCAGCAAATCTTCAAATTAAAGTGATAAGACTTCTGTAAGCAGAAAGATTTTTTTTTTTTTTTTTTAATGTCATCACTTTCTAACTCAGGTAGGGCTGAGACAACAGCAGAGCAGCTGCAGTGGGAAATGTTCAAGGCAGCACTGCTGAGGAGGGTAAGGGAGAAGAGATTCACCAAAAAGGGTAGAGGAAAATTTAAGGAGGGGCTGGGAAATGTTCACAAGGGGAATGGTGTGAGGAGACGGATGGGATTTATAAGTCAAGAAGTATATTACATCCTTCTGGGAGTAAAGGCTGAACCTTCTGGGAGAAATCAAATCTGAACAGTGATTACTTAACCACTCAGCCTAATTGAATACGCTGCATTAGCAAATAGCTGTTTGCAAAAGCTTTGCCTGCTGGGTCTACATCCAAAAAAAAAAAGCCCCACCAGTTATTAACACATACAGCAGCTTTAAATAAGGGTGCCTTTGTGAACTTGCTCAGGAGACAGGTTATTGGGCTGTGATCTGCTGAAAATAAACCACTGGAAGAAAATGACAGAGATGAATATTAAGCTAGGGAAAGTGTCAGAGAGGAGAGGGTTTAGCTGTTTACATGGTCAGTCATAAAACTCAAATTCAAACATCAAACACTGCAGAATATTTATCACACTGAACTGCTGTCAATCAGACTTGATTAGGCAGCAAACCTAAAGCAAATCAAACTAATTCTGCAAAACACTCCTGACACAGCAATGCATATTTCTAAAGAGTATATACCAAGGAATTAAATGCAAGAAAAATTTTACTTACTTCCAGGTTTCCTCTAGCTTTCTTCAAGACATCATGGGTTAAAACCACTGGAAAGAAAGAGGAGATTAAAAAGAATACTGCACAGTCTTTCAATATTCCCTGTATTCCAGTCTCCTAAGCAAATATTAAATAATGTATGAACTCACATCTACACGATGGGCAGTGACCAGGCAACCACGCAGACCCCCCGCCACCACTCCAGCTTCCTGACTCACCGAAATCCAGACCTGTTACTCCCTCCCCAGCCCCGTTCAGCAGCTCAGGCTGATGTACAAGCTTCCAGCTGCACCAGCCCCAGTGAAGTGGCCACGCTGTAGGAGCAGACGGCGTAATGCTGTTTCCTACCCCGTGGCTTACGTTCCATCTAGCACAGCATCTGCTTTTCAAATCTAACCATCAGCCAAGTGTTTTTAAAGTTTTTCTACCCTATCAAGAACGATATACGTGCAAACACGCACAGCTCATCACTGCCTTCACCAGGAGAGGTATGACCAGCCCTGCGATACTGATGACCTGGTCCCCCTGCTCCCATCAAAGCAATCCCATTTCTGCTCATTTTAAGGGGAGATGGTGCATGAGCTAACTCCAATGTGATCTGTAAGGGAGGCAGTTAGCAGGAGGGGGAGAAAAATTGTGGAGAGGTTATGGGGGACGAGGGGCTGGGAAGCGGACAGATGGCAAAAAGAAGTCAGCCAGCTCCTCCAGCAGTTCAAGGAGAAAGCAACCTAGACATGCTTAGGGGAAATCATGTCAGGGGCTTGCTCTGAAGGGTTCCAAGTTCTCTCTGTTCATCCAGCCAGGCTGGCTCTGTGGGGACAGCACCAGACCTGTGCACGGAGGAAGGATGCCTCTAAACAAAACTGGTATTTAGAAATGTCAGGTTAAATATGGGGTTGTCTAATCTGTGTCAGCTCCATAACTGCTGAAAAATACCATTCGCAAGGACCCATTTAATATTCCAGTCTCAAAAATAAACAATTTAGCCATAATAAAGATTTTTCATTACAATAATAAGAACCCAACAACTCCAAGGGTAGAGCTGTCATGAGATAATTACACCCTTGGCAGATTACTGCAATCTGGCACTGCATTGTTACATGTTCAGAGGTTCAGATGAGGTTTATAAGCAATGAGTTCGCTCACCAGAGAAAGTACACGGAAAACTCTGAGCCACAAGAACATTCCAGCCTCTAAATATATTTAGGAATGCTCAACTAAATAACAAAGGGAACCTGAATATCCTCAGCAGAGTGGCCAGCTAGCAGGATGTTTGGAGAATGAAGGCAGGCAAGGTCACCTACTGCGATGCCTTTGCTTTCTTACTAGCAAAAGGAGAAAGGAAGAAATAACAGCAAGCGTAAGCATCTTAACAAAACCCAGCAGCTTCACATGATCCATCAGCTTTGTTGTGTGTTTGGTCAGGAATCTGTGTAGAGATGCAATTTAGAAGCATTTCTGAAAATTGCTCTTTAAGGCAAAGGTAACTTGACATCCATAATTCCCATAATCAATGAAACTTAGAGAAAATCATATCTAGGTCTTTCTGTGTAGCAGAGTGCTCTCTGCTCATAAAGAACTCTGCTAGTAAATTCATTTCACCTGGCAAACCAGATTTTTCTAAATCAAAAATATTAAACTCAGTACATGAAGAGAATTTAGAGGATGTGACACTAATAGTGAAGCTGCTGCTGGCCAGGCGGCACTTAGCATTAAGAAGATTTCAGAAAATGCAGGCTTCATTTTACCAGGACCTAGTTCAGAGAAGGTTGAACGCCCTGAAAAATAGTGAGCAAAATAAGGGGAAGATGTACTCCTTTCTTTTTGGCCATAAGGATAAAATCTCTGCTGATTTATATTCTGCCCAGCCCTACTGAGTTTATCCAGTATGTCTGAGATGTCACTGGAACTATGAACTGATCAAATTAAACCAGTAAATCTACCCCAGGGATATTATTTGGACAGACATAATAGAATAGCTTTGATTTTTATCTGAAAACCCCAAGCTGAGCTATTTAACTTTAAAACCTGAACAAAACATAATTTTGGATTTAATTTAAGTAACCTGTACATCATTTAATACAACAATTCTAAAAGAAGTGACCAAAAACCTGCCCACAAATGCTTTAAAAAAATAATCTGCAAGCAGAAGATACATGTACCTTAGGTACAAATATCACAGGCTATGGAGCAAAATAACATTTATTCCTCTACACTGCATTTAAATGACCTGAGTAACTTACACTGTTATGGCCATTTCCATCACTCTGTATGAAGTGTAACATTTTACAGCCTAGATGAACTACCGATAACACAAGCGCCATCCCAGCAAAGACTAACGAGTCCTTCAGTCCCACCTCTTAAGAAAAGGATAGGTTTTTTTTTTTAAGAAGAAAATTAAATCCTCCTCCTGCAAGACACGTATTGCCACAGCATGAAGGCGGAGAAGAGGGGTAGTTCCATTCAAATCTCTTCTGATGAGTGACTGAAGCAGAAGAGGTGGGTCTCTTAAAACAGTCACCTGGCTTAACACAGCTCCAGTACAGCCCCTGTCCCACTTGTTTCCATGTTTCCAGATAATTTTCTAGATATGTCTGAGCGTGCACAAGGAAACACCAGTCAGAGCAACTGCAAAAGAACTGGCACCTATATTCATTTTGTTGTTTCTCCAATTCTAGCGGTAGCCAAAACTATAAAAATGAAATAAGAGCCAGCAGTAAAGCGCACGCTTACGCTGGTCAATGATGACTTTCTCCATGTTTTCCTTCAACTGGTTTGTGGAGTGCAAGCGTTTCACCGTGCTGTGTAACTTCTTCTCTTGCTCAGACAGTTTCTTACGTAATCTGAATATTTCCGCTTTCATGCCTTCATCCTAAATTGAGAGAAGAAAATATTAAAGTATTATATAAAAGTACTTTGTACATTGTTAATTGCTAAATACTTTTGTACAAGAGCTCATTTTACACATTTAAGGATGCTGGAAAATAACAACAAAAATGTTATTAAAATTATATATAAAATGTTTTCTTAAGTTTGGAGGTTTTTTCAGCAATATTCTGCTCCCCTTGAGAAACACATACAAAAGCCACAGTGAAAACACTTTAGATTCATTTTAAAGCCAGAGTTTGAAACAGTTCCATTACTGAGTGCTGGTATTATGACAGTATAGATAATTCATTCCTCATTCAGTTTACTTTCACTCATTTGCATAGTGCAAGCTTTTTTAGTTAAAATGTTATAAAACCTGTCTCAGGGTTTTGTCACACTTTTAAAAAAAAGCATCCTATCTTACAGCTTAGGCATCAAAAAGGAAAACATAGCTCAGATTACATTGCAGCTGCTGAAGTCTCTGTTGTTACTAGTATATAAATAATCAAACTGAACTTAGTTCTGTAACAGGGAGTCCAAACCTCTTCTGGCTGAAATGGAACGTTTGCCACCTGCCCCATGAATATCATGTAACAGGGTTACAGATTACATCTTTAATATAAAGTATTTTGTAAATAAACCCCCTGGTATATAGTATGATCAGGATGGAAAGCCAGCACACATTCAGCCTTAGCCTGCGGTGATGAGAGCTGACTAAATCCATGTGGCCAGAGACTGGCCATCCTGGGTTAGTGATTTTCAAAAGATTTTCCCAAATGACATGTTCCTAACTGGTGCATCTTCCCAGACATGTTACAACAGTTCAAAGAAAATAAATGAAATATAACAGTACCTGAGTACCATGAGTACCGTGTACAGCTTTCAGTGGAAGGGAAACTCTCCAGAGAAGCTTCAGTAAACGTGCAGCCTCTTCTAAAATCTGCTGTACTGTGTGAATATTTGCAGAAAAGCTATGCAGTGATGCCTGGTCTGGTATCTATATTGTAGGATTAGAGACATGTTATATTTTATGCTTAAAACATTATGAAAATGTAATCTTAATTAACGGTTTAAATCCAGCTGGTACGATTTCATATTTAAGATGATGTACGCAGCTATTGTGTGCCACAAAAGCTCATTTGTTAATTTACAAAGACTGATTAATTATGCATTATCTAAGAATTTCTGGAAGGGAGGGGATTTTTCCTAATCAATAACCATGATTAATAATAGATTATATTTACTAGATTTGCTGTGCCACATGGTAATAGCTGGCAACTCTCTTCTTTCTCCATTTGCATCTCGTGTTGCATTACTTGAAAGTCAAACGATTACAGCCATCAATTTAAGCAATATAGATGTTTCTTCCTTAGCAGACCCTTTAAACTGTTCCATCTAATGCTAAAATAACTATCAGGACACACATAAAATGTTTTCCTCTGCTGACAGATGAGAAAACCAAATTGAAGAAATTGCATGAATGTGAAATAAAGGAGGGAAAGAATGCAAAGGGAGCAAATGAATTACCAAAGGGATGGCGATACAGAAGGGGGAAGGGTAATGAAAGAGAAGCATTTGCAGTTCCTGCCCTTGCAGCATGTAATTGGAATGCTTATGGAGTATTGTTATCTAACCAGAATCCTCCTGTCTAATAAAATATCCCATTTGCTAAGTAGTCTGAAACTTCAGTGATGTAAAGCTTGATAGGAAACTGCAAATAGTGAAACTTATTGCTTTTATCTTTACACCAACAAAACAAGTTAAAAACTTACAGGGAGATTACTTTTTCAGTCATCATCAGTATCTTAACTAGGTCATTTGAAAATATATGATACTTCAGAGAGTCTTAAGTGTCATTCAGACATCATTTTACCGTGTGAGCACACATGTGATACCACAAAAAGAATTTCAGAATTGTTGAAGACTGCCTCTTCAACAGCTTTACTAATTATAACTAGAAAAATAAGTAGCGCAAATTTATCCACTCAGTTAAGACCTTCTGGTTTTTGAAGAGCAGTGAGTGTGTTTTTTACAAGATTTATATTATCATAAAATCATAGGGGTGAAAAGGACCTTCATTAGTCACCTAGTTTAATTCCCCACTCCAAGGCAGGAAAGCATTACATGTAGTTTTTGAAACATTCACGTACTCTGTTCTTAAAAGCGCCTCCAGTAACTGTCTCTGAGCACCCTCCATCCTGGTGTTTCATGATTTTTAGCACTGGCACGCTGCTTGAAACGCCTGATCCAAGCCTTTCCTGTTGCAGTTTAAGTTTCTTCGTTCCTCATTAGCTGCCATGGACCTGTACAGATTGTTCCTTCCCTTCTGTTGAAGCTTGTAGGTCCATTTGTCTTATTCAACCCACCCCAACTATACTATCATTAACTGCATCCAGAAATTAACATTATTAAATAGGAAAAAATTGGCTTAAGTAAACACTAGCTGTTCTCCTGATTCTAGAGGAAAAGGATTGACATTATTCAATACAAGGCAAACATTTTATTGGTTTAAGAATTATTATGCTTAAGACTCCAGCAAGAGCACCACGACTTGATATCACTGCGTCACCCATGATGCAGAAAGGAAGATGTGTCTCAGAAGACAATATTTGATTATTAATGAGATATTCAAGGTTCTAGACTAGCTACTGATATCGCTAAGGTGTTCAGCTGACACCTGGAAGTGGAAAAATATTAAAAAGCTTCTCTAATATGAAACAATCCTCATTAGCATACATCAATCATTAATGTACAGTTATCACCTGGTGCTACCAAAGGGCTGAATACAAGTAAAGTGGGAAACTTTATCAGCTGTGTATCAGATTTAACTGTCTTTTATTTCCTGGGTTTACCCCAAGCCTTCATTTCAAGAAAATCTTAATTATTTTTTTATCCTTAGGTTACTGATATGTACCTGCAGTTTAAGCCCTTTCTAAAGCATTTGAGAGTTTATCTGGGTATTTTTGTTGGTTTTCTTTGGCTTTTTATCATTTCCAGTGTAACAATCACCGATTTCCATAGTAAAAGCAAGTAGTTTCCCCTCCTATCAAGTTGCAAGTAGAAGTGAGATTGCTTATTAAAGGACCAGAATTAACTAGATCCATAGCCTCAGTAACACAGAATCACAAATAGGTGCCTGCATCTAGATGAGACCTGGACTGTCAAGGTTGAGGTGTCCTGACAGAGTTATTCAGTTAATGGTGCTTGCTGTGCCATTAACCTAGTTCTTCGCTTTTGTAACCTACTTATTTTGCACCTCTAGGTAAAATCCACCATCCTTGAACAGCTTTCACCGTTTACCTTTATTCCAGGCTCCTGCAGTTTCGTACCAGTGACCTCTCTTGAAGAAATCTCCATTTCTGCTAAAACTTGTTGTCCTTCTGCAATCTGTTTCCGCAGGGCATTATAATCCTCGATCAAGCCAAGAACGTGGCGCCCGTTTTTGTCTGCCCACATACGGTGGCCAGGCACCAGGCGAGGGGTACATGCTGTACTGGAGGATGAAGTGCTGCTGCAGTGGGAAGCGCTGTCTAAATCATCTTTAGAGGCTGGGGGCATACCTGGGACAGAAAAATACTTTTATCCTTATACATGGAACTAATTGACACTAGACTTCTCTTGAAGAGCAAGCCTGGGATACTGGTGATGTGCACATTTAAGATACTCTTGGATGTACCTGTTTTCGCCAGCGAAATGCAATGTCCACGCTTCTGCGGCTCACAAATGTTTCTGCTCGCAGCAGGGCATTTACAAAGATTTTCTACATATAAAAACAGAACAAGGAAGAGTGTGTCAGCAGAAGTTAACATGCATTAAAAAAAAACTTCCTATCTCTGCTTCTGTTTCCTTTTTTTTGCTGATGCTGCACTTGGACTCAGGAAGCAGGGAAAGACGACTAATTTTCTAGTACCACCCCATGTATCTTCTTGTATTTACCTACAGTCATCTTTTTAGCATCTATCCAAAATTCTAGATATTTCCCAAAATCAAGTCATGGTCAGAAAATGTAAAATACATCCTGAGGAAGATATTTTAATCAACAAATGTAAGCTTCCCATTAACTCCACAAAAAGCATGACACTCTCCACAGCTACACCATTCTAAAGATCAGATCTATACCCCCCTTCTTCAGACCTTCCAAATTCCGTAAGTACCTATGAGTAAAGACTAATCACAGCACATGTAAAAATCTAACAAATTCAGCTGCTGACATTCCAAGGAGTCCTTCTGGTCCATATCAAACCAAGCTATTATAGCTCTATTCAACATTTTCTTAAGAAATAACAAGCTTCTCCAGCTCTTCTCTTCTTTACCTGATGCAGGTCAAAAGCAACATCTAGGATTCTATCCAGAAATTAACCAGGAACAAATGCAATTTGGGGATACTGATGGTACAGATTCCCCACAGCAGCTGTTCCGCACCTTTGTGACCATGACTGGCCCCAAGGACCCATCCCTACATGGAGCACACAACTGTCATTTACTGTTCAAGGCTAAAGTGTACAGCAGCAACACGTAAATGTCATTTGCTACATTCCGCATCTCTCTTACTTGTACAGGTTTAGGGTAGAGCTATGCTGCACCTGAAGTGTGATTCTGACACGATGGACCCACAAAAGAAGGTGGTAAAAAAACCTGTTGTGCCTCACAAGCTCTTGCAGTAATGCTCTGGCTGGCGCTGCGTGCTCTGTCCGGTGCGTGAGATTTAGGTAAGCATGTTCAGGGGAAATGTATGGACCCAAAAAGCCCCATTGTTACTGGTTCCCATAACAGAATGAATACCTGTACAGGCTGTAGGAGAGGTGGCTTTATGCTGAAAGTACGGGAAGCTGTTACTATGCAGAGTGCTTCAGCAGCAAGGAAGAACATTCTTGTGCTCTCTGTATCCCATGTACATCTATATGGGACAATAATCTAACCCTCAGTGTAAACACTACGTTTTCCCTGATTTGCTAGAACAGTATCACTCAACAGGGATTGAAATAAAGGTTAAATATTCCTCAAGGGCAAAAAAAGGGCACAACTGATTTATACAAAGACCATTTGGTGTGCTTATTGATCATCCTTGAGTAATACATACTCACTCCTAGAAAACACTACAGAACTCTGCACGAAAAAAAGAAACCCCAGGTAAGCAAAATCTCTGGCAATTTAATACAACCATCCTTCCATCCCAGAGACTGTCTGCAAATGCTTTTCTCGAATGAAAAGGAAGTGACAGCTGGAGGCTGTAAGACAGTGCAGCCTGCATTTCTCCTCCCCGTGCACTAATCGCTCTGCGAGGAGAGAGATCTGAAATGCTGATGGGCAGCTCCCTAACGTACAGCTGATGTTGTATAAGGCTTTAAGAGCATCTTTAAAGAACAAGGCACAGGTTTTACAGTGTAACAAAAGCATGCATGGCACAGTACCGTTCATTCCTGGATAATGCTGAGATTCTTGTTTGAAAAGATAGTTGGTATTTACAGCGGACACTGATCCCACTTCCTCTTTCTTTTCTTTCGAAAGCTGTTCCTCTAATTTTTCATGCAAAGACTTGTTTGTCTCTATGCTTCTCTCAAGCTGCACTCGTAAACTCTGTATTTCAGTTAATAGTTCATGTAAGTCAAGTGGATTATTCTGATCTTTTCGGAATTCTTCTGATGCGTCACATCTGGGATCTGAGACAATTTCAAAAGAAACACTTAACATTTTTAACAATTAATATTAGCCATTATCAGACTGCCGAGCAAAGTGTTATCCTCAATATTAAGAATTAACTACAGCGTCACATCTGGGATCTGAGACAATTTCAAAAGAAACACTTAACATTTTTAACAATTAATATTAGCCGTTATCAGACTGCCGAGCAAATAAATTATAGTCAGTGTTATCCTCAATATTAAGACTTAACTACAAACAGCATTAAGATAGTGGTTTGACAAAAAAGGATGCTTTAATTGCTTCTACCCTCAGAAGATTTAAAGAGCCAAAAATTATTTTTCACTTTGTGCATAAAAGCTAATAAGTCTCATGCCAAAAGCGAAAACATATAATAAAAAGAGAATGAAGAGGATTTACAAAATTCAAAGTGCATTAAGGCACAGTCTGGGGAAAGAAAAAGGAATGGGTAACCTCAGAGTGCGGAGGAGGGATGGAGTAGAATTGGGAGTTTAATTTTATACACAGAAGAAAAAAAAAGAAAATAGCGATCACCTGGCAACCAGAGAAACAAATCTGAACCTGAAAAAAGCAAGGGCTGTGTTTGTCTTTTCATGGAAGGAGGTCAGTACACAAACAGTTCCTTGTATTCTTTCATGCTGAAATCAAACTTTTCTCCAGACACTGGGAAGGGGCTGAACTGCACGAGGAGGGTGCTGCCGCTCTCTAATTACATTACCCGTTCTGCAAGGAGACTTACTGCCATCCCTGAGCCAACTTTGGCTTCAAGCCTTATGCCAACAGGGCTCTTCTGCTGCAGAAATGCATGAAATGCAGTGACAGCAGGGCACAATACTTAAAGGTGCAGGAAGGAAAAAAAAACAAAAAAAAAAAACCCACAAAACCAACTTTCACAAGAACTTTCAATGGGAAATTTGCCAGATCCTGTAACGAGTATGCAGCAATGAACATCATTCAATTTTTCTTAAAAAGGGGCAGGAAGAACTCATGTAAGCCTCATTCCTGCCCTCACCTTTAGTGACAGAAAAGCGGACAGGAAATTATTAAACGTCTCGTTCAGAAAGCAGTGCCAGCACTTCTCCCCAGCCCTAGGGAGGAGACACTACCCTCCTATCCAGACCAGAGAAGCACAAGCCACCTGGGTAAGCACTACACGTGAGGATGCAGCAACATGCATTTAGATGACAAGTAAACACCTCCGATCTCCCTGAGCTTATCCAGCCTGAGCCACTGAATCTTCAATATTTGTTTTCAGCTTAGCTACAAAAAGGAAACTCAGGTGTGCCTAGTCGGAACATATCACACATCTCAACCTCGCAGTCACACTCCTAAGTAAGCAGCAGCATTTTATCATCAACTTGTCTGTTCTGCTTTGCATAGCAGACACATGTAGAAACAAAGAAACCGTGACCTAGCCCTCCTGTCCTGTGAGATCATGTTCAGAGAGGGAAGGGTTCCAAGGGATATGGAAGGGTATAGAAACAATTGTGCATTTATACCTGTCCTCTTCCTTCTTGCTTCCTCCAGCTTTTCATAAACCTTGATCTCAGTTCGGAGCGACTGCAGTAACTTCTCATTCTCAGAGAGCTGATGTTGCTTCACATTAATTTCTGTTTGCAACCTGTTAAGTCCCAATAAATGGCTAAATTAAAAGTTAAATTATTATATTTTGTTTCAAAAAAAAAATCTAAAATCCATTCCCCTTTCCTCCATAATTCTTCACTTGCCTTCTGAATAGATCTATGCACGTCATTCACGTTAATGGCTATGGCTAAACACACACTTGTCACATTGACAATTTTCTTCTCTAAATAAATGTCTAAATGTGGACAGAATCAATACCTGTTTAATTCATTACGACTGCTGTAAATTTGACATGTCAGATATCTGGTTTCATCTTCCTTTTCGCCAATTTGTTTTTGCAACCTTTCATTTTCTTTCTTGATGCATTCATAATCCTCATGAAGATGCTCAATGATTGCATTCTTTTTAGAAAGAGATTCTCTCAACTTTTCATTTTCCTTTTGTTTATCTGAAACAAGAAACCCAAGGTATTTGCGATGCTCAGAACACACTAAAGCTTTTTCAGAGACTGTGAGAAAATAATAGCTGTTCTTGAAAGTGTTAGGATTTCAGTATTTCAATTTTCTAATGACTTTTGCTAGATACATTTTCTGTAACGAGCAACACTTTTAACCCCCAGGACTCAGAAAGGCTCAGTAAAAGCCTGTGTACAGCCTCACGTGCCAAATGTCCCCAACACCTCCTGGAATTTGGTCAGAAGGACAGTATTCAACAACTAGTGGCAGCAGGATCCCAAAGCAGACACATGAATTTTGCCAATCCTCAAATAATGGATTTGACTTCTCTTTAGGAAGAAAAGAACTCAGTGGGACTGTTCTAGGGCATCCATGTTCCTCTTTGTCTCACAGAAACCCCTCTGTCCTCTCCCTCCCAGCCCTGTTTATCTGCCGAATGTATCACAGCGGTCCTTTTCTTGGCACAAGCTCTTTCCCCAAACTGCTTCTGTGACACAGAATTGTGATAGGGGCCACTGAGCATTTTAAGACGGCTGCAACCAGAGAGGCTTGTGGGGACCCCAAGTTCTTTTGTGACCCTACATTTAGCACTGGAGGAGGAGGCAATCTTGGCAAAGAAACAGCAGGGAGGAATCATTCCATCTCCCAACAGTTAGAAAATAATTTCCTCATCTTTAATACTCTTGTTGAAAACATATGAAAACAGTAATCCTCACGTGCTGTTAAAGCGTGCATCACCAGCCTTTCACCCCTGAAGGGCTAAGCTAAGACTACAGACAGAAAGCACCAAGACCAAACCATGCAGGAGGTATCTAAGAGGCTTTTCTTTCTGTGGTTCATCCAGGAATAAAAGGAAAAGAAGCTCACAAGCTCCAGAGATACCGATATTATTTTAAAACACAATGGTGTCAATGATCTATTCTCATGGTTCTTATAAAAAAGAAACCCCAGTTTGAATTCTTACGACTGAGCGTGGAATTTCAGGGGTGGGAGGAATGGTTAAGTCAGTTTAATGAATGGACTGTTAACACCATTTTATTGTTTTCTGATCTGGAATGAGTTGCAGTCTACTCCAGTAAAGCACAGTTTTGCATTTTTACCTCTGGATCCTTTTGCTAGCATTGCATTCAGAACTTGATTTTGCTTCCTCAGGAAATGTGTTTCAGAAGTCAGGGAATTATGCTGCTCTGAGCCATGGATAAAAATGTTTGCAGAACCTATAAATATATACATAAAAAATGATTTACGAGTCATCTCTAGGTCATTAAAGATTAAACTTTCCAGACAAGAACAATTTAAAAAATTGCAGAAAAACATCTTACGAAAGATATTTCTCCCCTATATATTTTGAAGGTTATCCCTAAAGACTAAAAGGCAGTTCAGGTTAATGCCAAGTAATCCAAAGCCCTGCATCACGAGTGCCTCTCATTGCTGGGCAACCATTACCAAAATTGCAAAATTATCCCTGACAGTCTTTACCTAGGAGCCAATATTCCAACAGGACAAAATGCAGGAGTATTTTGTGAAATGGGTATTTTAAAATAATGCAAACTGTAGGGCAGTTTACCATCTATTTCAGTCTTGCTCTGCTCATACTCTGTCGTATTTAATGACACCGTTGCAGAGGACCACTAGATTGTACAAACTAACAGTGGTTAATGCAGGAAGTAACGTTAATTAGCCTGGTAACGGGTTTGTTACCACACCAGTCTACAGCATAAGGCTCGAGTCCCTGTCTTTGCTTCTGATTACAAACTGCGAGCCCTCTTATGAGCCCAGGGATGAAGACTCATCCCTCTTAAATGCGTGTATCTAAAATTTAGATGATGGAGCCAGTATTGATCAACCACCAATGGTCATGGGGAGAAAGGCTCCTCCAGAGAGCAACTCACCCCATGTACCCCTACACACCTTTCTGCGGATGAGACACCCTGACCTCCGAAGAGATGCAGGTCTCTCCAGTGCCTCCGTGAGACGCCCTGGGCAACTGACACACAGTTACACTCTAACTTCTAGAAGCTTAAGAGTGATGAATCCTATTCTGAGGATCTTATTGAGCTAGTCCTATGCATATTAGTGTTCAACCAGGTACCCAGTCAGTCAAATTCCAGCCTAGGCAAACCTCATAACGTACGGTATTTATGCTACTCATCCCACAGCGATGTGTAATGTCACACTCAGAAAAGTGCCACATTCCACTCTCAAGGCAGCTGCCTCTGAAATGCAAGTCAAGTAATTGTTATTGCCCTTTATAACCTGCTTATAGTCAGTAAAACACTTCAGGACCCACCAGAATTAACATTACTATTAAAAGTATTTTTCAGTCGATTGGTTATCCCAGTATCAACTACGCTTTAAAGCTTGAGATAACTACATGAGTGTCAGCTATTCGGTTAATAGAGAAATAACCAGCTGGCAAAAAAAAATTAGCTGAATGTACAAGGAGGATGCCTTTCAGCTCTGGCAGTTCAATTCAATTTGATGTGCTGCACTTCCTGCGAGTAATCTCATTTCATTGTAATCCCAATTGAAGCTTTTACCCACTACCTAACTGGGATGTAGTGTGCCATGATATGCACCTCTTGTCGTTACTGAAAGACTCAAAGGCACTAGAAGCCTGGCACTAATGGCATTTTACTATCTATATGTTAAAGAGTTGAGGTAGCTATGAGAACTCAAAAGGCTTTTTCCTTTCAGATTTTAACAAAGCAATTCAACTTGAAGTGGCAAGGCTTGATGGTCTCACCCTGATTCTAATTTAATTTATTGCCCATCACCCAGCTTTATCCTATTTGAAAAGTTATGCTATCACACTTCTACTGAAAGGCTTTAGAATATAACTATTAGTTATCCTACATAATAAGGGTTAATGCAGAGCCAGTGGTAATAAGGCCACAATCCTGCAATCTGACCCACTATTGAGATGACTACTTCTGTGCAGAGCCCTGCTGACATCAATTACGCTCTCCATAGACGCAAAGGTCCATCTAACCGGAGTAAAGTGGAGCATCAGGGCCTACAATCGCAATACACTTGAGTTTTCATTACGTTTTGTGCTGAAAAAAGGAGTGCTAAGGAAGCGTACCTTGAAGGTTTCAAAGGAAACACTGAAAGACAGGCGCTATTGAAAACCACAGCAAAGAGGAAGGAAATAGTCATTCCCAGGGAAAGCAAAATAAAGGCATACTAACGCTGAAGGTAAGCCTGAGTAGATACATGAGTTACTCAGGGGTTAAAAAAAGCAAACAAAAACCCCTTTTAATGTTAACTGCCGTTAATAACATTTGAAACCTAGGAAACTCAAAATTAAACCTTTGGTTTTATTTTGAAGCCTAACATTTGAAATGATTGAAGCAATTATTTTAGTTCTGCTTCCACTGCAAACCTCAGCTCTACAGTAACGATGTAGTCATTACCAGCACTCGAGTCATTTATAGAATACTAGAAGCCCAGAGGCATTTAAATACTTTGAGAATCTAAATATTAAAAATAGCATGGCAAAAATAGTGGGCAGATGTGTGTATCTAAATCCATATAGTATTTATCAGACAAGAATAATTTTATCCATTAACTTTGGTTGAACAAACAACTTAATATCACATTAATTTAACAAGCTCCCATCAACAATCAAGTATTCTACAATTTGGTTTTGTTTTTTAAAGGAAAACAAACTAAGGATATTAAGTTAAAAGTAAAAAAATTGGTTTGAATTATGATTTCCCAAAGCTAATATTTGCTTCAACTTCACTTAGGAACTTATTTTTACACTGAAATTCAAAAAAAGCCCATCTGTTAGGAAAAATGTACCATCATTACTAGACAAGAGAAGACGCATATCTGATAACATGAGAGAGATCTTCAAAATGGAGAGAAACAAGAAACACTGAAATAACATAGCAAGAAAAAGGAGTTATTCCAACAGGTAGTTGTTTTTTTTTCCTTTCTTTTCCAAATTTCTCCTCCATGCATTGGTAGATGCACCAAGGCAACAAGAAGACAGATCGAAGGCATAAGACAGTTTATAAAGAAAATATACTTTCACTGCATTAATGGATGTCCTTGCCAGAATCTTTATGAAGCTGTAAAAGGGTTGGAAGTGTTTCAGTGTGGTTATTTCACGAGAACAGTATGCCTTTCCAGCTACGTAAATGCTTCATGAATGAAATAGATGCTTTTTATACACATTTCCATCACTGTAAATTACTCCTGAAAGCAAACTGCCATTTGGAGGTAGTCTCCATTTAAACAACAACAGAAGTGGATCACGGGGATGATGTAAAACATAATGAATCTAATGTCAATATTAGTGAATCTGAGTAAAAGGAAAGCAGGTATGTATTTATTGCCTGCTTCCACTCTGAGTAATATTGCGTATTAATCAATTGTCCTAGGGGGGAAATGTGGGCAGGAGTGCAAGAACAGCACACAGTGCAGGGAAGATGCCGGGTACGGTGTGCTTGAAAAGGTGCTACAGAAGCATCGTCAGTGAAAGCCTGGCTACCCTCTTGTGAAAAGTTCTAAGCACACCACAGAGGTTGGCTTTCAAAGATGCTGAACACTAACAACAGAGAGCAGTGACTCTGAATTTGCATACCTATTTTTAGTATTTTTCATCCACTGCTTTATATTAGAGTTTGGAATGAAAACCAACTCTACTTTAAAATTTCCATCAGTTTCTGTCAGGTATCTCTCATTAAAAGCTCACGATGTCATTTTGTGTAGAACACATTTATCACACCCATCAATTCAAATGACAAGCTGAACACCCTGGCCTAGGCTCTGCCTTACAGATATTTTGCCCCTGAATGTAAACACAAGCTGGCTTTCAAGCAGTCCTAAAATTCCATCTTCATGCTCCTGTCAGCAGCAGTGCCGTACCGACCGTCCTGGGTACACACAGAGTGGAGACAGAAAAGCCTGTCAGCAGCAGTGCCGTACCGACCGTCCCAGGTACACACAGAGTGGAGACAGAAAAGATCATTCCACAACATTCCTACTTTAGATCAGTAGCAGCAATGCCATTTAGAGCAAAGCACTTCCTCCTCCTCTATTCACACCACGCCCAGAACCCACCAAAATGATGGGGATAAAATGGGCTTCCCCTCCTGCAACTGCCCCTGGCTGGACACGGCAGAGAACTAAAAGAGGATGACAGCCTGCAATCCAAGACCATGATAACAATAATGATATCCCAAATGTAAAAAACAAAACAAAACAAAACAAAAAAGACACCAAAAAAACCCAACCCAAAACCAAACCAAAAAAGCCCAAACAACCCCACAAAACACCCCAACAGCCTGTTTGCTGGTAAGAGAATTAGAAGGGTCTTTGAATTCTCCAGATGAAATTCAACCATGTTGTCATCGAATGTCATAAAACTCCCTCGTAGCCCTGTTTTCCTAGCAATGTGTGCAATTGTAGGCTGGAGGCTGCATGGTGTACCTGTATCCCATAAAAGCTGGGCTCAAGGAAGAGGCACGTTAGAGCTGTGTTTATGCCACGCTAGAAGCATGGAGAAGCTGCATCTGCTGATGGTGCTCCAGAGGCAGCAGTATCCAGAGAAAGGTACATCCATTTCCAACAGGAAAGGGGTGTGATTTAATCAAAAAAACCACATCAACCATTTCCAGCAGCATTTGATCCCTCAGGCTTTAAGCAGGAAAGGTGGATTTAATTTGTCATGAAATAAATCCTTACCTTGATCTAGCTCCTTGTCTGTTACTTGTCTCTCAAGCTGCTTCCTCAGTCTCTCGTTAGTTTTTATGGAGTATTCTAAACGTTGTCTCAGGATCCGAATTTCTTGCAGATGCTCCATTAATAACTCTTAATAAACCAAGAGAGCACTTGTTAGAGTAAATGACTGTATTCCTTTAGACTGTGTACTCCTGTCAAATCTGACATGTGTTAATACTAAAAAACGACACAGAGCTGTTCAAACCGGCAGACCCTAAACACCCAACTCCACAACAGCCTCTTTCCACATTGTGCCCAAACCATGCAGCTAGTGAAAACTCCTGCTCTACATTTTAACTTAAACAACAGTCCTGTTTTAAGACTTTATACATTTCTTCTTCTTACAGAACTGCAGTAGATAGCAATTTTATCTAGTTAAAACATTCCCCGATCTGCAAAATGAATCCAAAGTTCTGCAATGCACCTTCACAACCAGGCTCGACGCACCGATACATTTTTCCTTATAACAACAGCAAGCTTACCAGAGAAACAGATATAAATTTGACTTTGACTTACACAATGCATACATAAATCTGCTCTATCAAATTTCATTACTGTACCTTTTCCTTCTTGCTTTGACTTTCTACAATTTTTCTTCCATTGGCTGTAAGTTTCAGCTTTGCTCAGGAACTTATCTGTTCCTACTGTCACTATCTTATTTGTCAGTTTATCCATGTCATACACTCCTGGTTTACTCTGCAATATTTTTCTCCGGAACAGTACGTGCTGTCTCAGCTATTAAATTTTCATCACTGCCTATAACAAACTACTGCAAGCACCACTTGTGCTTAGTGAAACTATCCAGGTCAAACATGACACCACTTATTAATTATGCAGCACTTACAATTCTCAAGGAAACACAACACTGGCTTTTATAAAATTAGAAAATCTCTCTTTTTCAATGTAATAATCTCCTGACAATTGTCTATTTTCGCCTTATAACTTGTCTATTTAAAGACTGTCTGGAGTACTGTAAAAGATGATAGTCTAAAACAACAAAGACACAAAATATCATAGTTAATTTTGTTTCAAACAGGAGGTAGTTCAAATCGTTGCCATCTCTGTACGCCTTATTACCGAAATCGCAATGATTATGCAAGATACTGGAAAGCTGAAGCAGACAAACATTCTTCATTATTTCTTAATTAGTTCCCTTGTGTCTTATTTATCACATTTTCCCAATATCTAGTGAATCTTCAGTGGGAAAAAAATTACCTGGGGGAAAGTTGTTTGGCAGAAGCGCCAGTGTGCCATGCTGTCCTTCTAGGTCATGCCTGTGCTCAGGCGATCCAAGAGACGACTTTTCTGACAAATCAAAGTCAGACAAGCTATGAAGAGCAGATGGTACAGGTGATTCATCCTTTCGTTGCTGGTACATTGTAGCGTTCTTCTCATTATCCCTTTTGTGCCAAACAAAATGTTTTCAAATATAAAAGTTATTTTACCACTTTGGAAGCACGAACAGAGAGCATGGTGTCAAATTTACAGGGTACAGGCAAAGCAAGTGAATTGACGCGACAGAACACGACAAACCACGACACATCAGGGACTGTATCAGGACTGAAATTCAGACCTCACTGATAATCAACGGACCTCCAGCCTAGAGCTCACGTTCCAGCTCTAAGTAGCCACCTTGGCGTTAAGGGGACCTCAAGCTGCCTTGAACCAGCAGCTGAGGATTTCTGTAGCACAGAAGAATCCCAGGCTGGCATAAAACCAACATATGCAGCATAACAACACCTGCTCTCTTCACCTTCAGCGTAAGGGTGTCTTGAGAATGAAGTTCGCCCTGTGTTTCAGCAATCCTGAGCCAGCCCCAAGGTCACGGAAACAGAAAGTTCGCTGACTAGCCCTCCTAGCAGCTGCCATCAGGGTAACACCTGAACACACACAGCGGTGTGCTACGGCACACGTTTTGTTCATTCAGGAAAGGAACAATCCTGGCAGCATGATCCTTCCTCTCAGTATCTCAGCTGCTTGGTGAGGAGTGGGGAAAAAAGCCTTTGTTTGTTTTCTGTGGGTTTTCTATTAACAAAACGGATCTTAATGAAAGAGGTAACATAAGCAAAGCCTTCCCAAAGACCAGAACAGTGGAAGTTGTGCTACAAAACATGGAGCATCCCTATCAGCTTAGGAACCAACCGTATATTTGGTAAACATTCAATTGCACTCTTACCTTTGAGCTAATTCATAAAGTATAGTAACTTCTGTACCTATTGATTCTCCTGCAAAGCAGAAATAGCTGATTAAAAACAGATACTGAGAATTACGCTTTTTTCCCCTTAAATAGTTAAACTATTTAACTGTAGAATGATAAATTACTGAGAAATTAGAGAAGTCAACAGATACTCAACACACAGTGTACTGATGTCAATTGCTGTCCATGAGCAGAACTATTTATAGCTCAGCAACAAAGCCATAGCTTTCTCTGGAGTTCAAAAAAAAAAAAATTACTAGTTACCAGAGGTGCCAGATTTTACAGCCTTGGTGTTTGAGTTAGCACACAGGTGTAAAATATCGTGCTTCATGGCAAAAGGATTAGGGGTACATGCCATTACTTCTTCAATAAAAATCATATAAAAACAACTGCATCGCATTTGGATTTTGTCCACCCAGAGGCAGGCTAAGCAGTTATCCTTAATAAAGGGGCACACCCAGGATGTTGCCTGCAGTATTCTCGGGAGGATAGCGTGTGAGCACAAGCGCAATTCAGTGCAAGAGACCTGCACTCAGACATTCATTTAAATAAGGAAATAAGAGTTTCGTGGTGTCACCTTGGCTCCCCATATTTAAAAAATTTTGTGCAATTAAGCAGAAGTGGCAGGCAAGAGTTGCACAGCTGAAATTTCAGGGGAATGAATTGAAGGTCAGGATGGAAATGCAGAGACAGACGGTTGTTTATGCTGCTTCTTTATAGTCAATTCTTAGTGCGCTGGATGTTCTTTATAACCCTACAAACATCATTTTATTTTAATGCGTGATTCCATGCAACACCATTGTGTTAGATATATTGAATTGTCTCGGTTGTCAGTGACTTTTCATTGTATATAGGATACCATCTGTTGGTTTGGGGATTTTTTTTTTAAAGGCGTTTAATGTTTATTCACTACACAGTCTTCTCATTTGTAATGCAAGGAATCTCTGTAGCCACTGGAATCATCGAATACACTCAATCTTTTACCACGCTGCTATGACACACTAGCTGTAATACCTTTTTCTCGTATACAACTCCTTTATATGAGCAATTGAAAACTGCAACATGCTGCCACTATCTTTAATGAAAGGCAGAATACAGATCATTGTATGGCTGGGTCCTGAATGTTTCTGAACAAAGCGATCTTCTGGAGCCAATTTCAGGAAGACAGAGGGGTCAGGGTCCCTATTTCATCGCTGAAGATGTCAGTTTTGCAGCTGACATCTCTGGAAGTATTCATGGTTGTTCGGGTCAGAAAGAGCAACACATGTGACGATAGGGAAAGGTCTCTTGCTGAATTTCACTCATGTCAGCATCCCTTTTCCATCCCTTCGATAACTTTCTACGGACTGAAGGCAATATGCATTATATACTCCTCCTTCAGGTGCCAAATGTCAATTTTGATGCTCATTTTACTTGTATTTTAGCTCTCTATTAAGAAAGCTAACTTGCTTGTCTTAACCAGCTAGACTAACTTGGCAGCAAGATGCAGGTCTCTTAGGAAAAAAATGAGAAATGTTAGGAGTAGTACATCTCCTCATACGGTCCCATCTCTCAGATGTTTACAGTTTTGCCTTTCCAATTTAATGCTTTGCCAAACAATAGGTGGGGAAACTGGGATAACCAGAGGCCAAGAGCATTTTCAGATGTGTAAGCTGCCATTTTTCAGACAGCATGGTGTGCTCACTGGTATGTAAAAGGGCTTTGCTTACTGGTACACGTCACAATGTCCTTTCCTGGGTCCATTCCAATGTCCTTTCCACTCCATTCAGCACTCAGTCTTCTCTAATGCCAGGACAACACTTCTCTGGTTGACTTCTCCTCAGACCCCTACTCAGGAGGCTCTTGTTCTGCTATCATGCCCTACCAAAACCCTCAAACACACACGGATTGGCAATACCACAGTCTCTTCAATTCACGAGCTACTCAGAATTCTGAAAGGAATTACTCTCCTCTGCCTTCTAACCAAATAGATTTTCCTTTTCTCCCTCCTTATTTTAATTTTCTAAGTGCACCATTTGGACACAGAGAAGCTGTGGATGCCCCATACCTGGAGGGGTTCAAGGCCAGGCTGGATGAGGCTTTGGGCAACCTGGGCTGGTGGGAGGTGTCCCTGCCCATGGCAGGGGGCTGGAACCCAGTGATCTCTAAGGTCCCTCCCGACCCAAACCATTCTGTAATTCTATGATTCTGTGATAAAGTCTTTGGCTCTTTTTCTTGGAGCATCCTGTGGCAGATGATTTTACACCTGCATACTATTTATTTTGTGTTATTTCTACAGGAATATCAATAACATGCAAGTTAGCACAGTATTATCTTCCAACTGTTCAATGCAAGAAGATTGATTATAGTTTCTTTAAAGGCCTGGGCCATAGAAAATTGCCTAGATGGACAACTATATGGTAATTTCTTCTTTTACTTTAAAAGCACAGCCCAGATCTCTGCACTGCATTCACCTTTCTTGCAAGCAACTGCACTTTAGGGGAGAAAACTTCAGAAACCTGTAATTTTTTCTTTTTAGTTAAACATACATTGTGTCAAAAACCAACTGTGAACCACGCCCATGAGAACCCTTCAATAGGGGTATCCAGTGCTTACACTCAACAAAGTCAGCTGGGCTGTTCCCTGAAACAGAAAATCCCGAAGCCCACTTGTAACTAGACTTTTACTAAACTATAACCACTATATTTTGAACAGTCAAAATACATATGTGCTAAGATAAACAACTCAAAATGGAAGGTGTCAATACAGAGGACAACAACAAAAGTAAAATCCAGTCTTGTTGGAACACTAAAATTTTATCTTCCAAGACAGTCCTTCCTATAAATCATTTAAAAGCAACCAAGAGGAAGTAAGGCTTCCTTTTCAGTAAAAAGAAAAAAAACAAACCCACACAAAACCTTCAAATGTTCAGAATGTTAATATATCTCAGACAATAAGCACAAAATACTGCTACTTACCATACAGGAATTTCCTTTCTAGCTTCTCAAACAATAGTACACTTTGATTCAGTTGTTCACGGAAGCCTTCAGCAACATAATAATCTACATCACTGGCTTGAAGCAGTTCCTCAAAAGCTTTAATAAGGCTCATCAGATGTTGATGGTAAGCGACACAACCACCGTGGATCTCTTTAATTTGTTGGCGTTGAAAGGAGAGTTCTCGAGCTTGTGAATGAACTAATGAATCATATCTGAGAAATTGAAATGATCTTTAAAGTAATTTTCTGACCATAAATAACATTGAAATATAAATAAAAAGTGAATTAAACTTATATTCCTAAACTGTAATTTTATGTGACTCCATTTTCTTTTAAAATGCTTTTACAGCCACAATGAGAAATGTATTGTCTCTGACAGTTGAGTTTCATATTTACGGGCATAACTTGTGGGTTATTATCCTTCACTTAACTGCTTCATTTATAAGATGAGCAGAAGCTAGAGCGATGAACTTGTTTGTCTCCTTGGAAATAACCCAGATGGCATGCAAAGGTGACAAATTAAAGTAAATAAGAGTGAATACAGAAAAATAATTTTTAAGAACGCACATTTTTCATGATTTTTTTTTTTCCATTCACTATAGAAGAACAGATAGAGCTGCCCCTTCACCCAGACTGAAAATTCTGCACATCTCTGTATGTTTATTACCAAAGACATGACCATGACAACCACTGTCGTGTCCAAATTCTCATACTTCACAACCCAGGACATAAATTTCAACTCAGATCAACTGAATTTATTCTGCACTTGCAAATACAGAGAACCCCTTTATACTGCCACTGTTTGTATCACAGATAGACTTCTTCCTACAGAATCATACATTAGTGGAGAAAAAAAGGGAGAGGATCTGAAAAGAGGCAGGGAATCCAACAAAGTATGGGGCATAAACAAAATCTATGATGGCGTGTGTTGTTACAGAATTATTATTGTCATTTGTGTAGGAAGAGATTCGTAACTCATTTCTGGGTCTGTCACCTGTGACTCGTGCAGTTGTCCTTGCCAGTGGCCATGATAACTTTACAGCGATCCATACTGTCTCATTCCTTAATTTACACAGGCGGACCTTCCTTTGTAAAATGGATGAGGTATATTTCAAGGTATGTAAATTTATATGTACTATGTAGCACGATCATATTTTATGATAGCAATACTAAGAGATATACAATAGCCCACGCCGGTCGTTGCTCAGTGTCTCCAAATATCTCTATTCAAGCATTCTGAAGAAAGCCAATGGGCCAAATACCTTTCTCTGCTATACTTCCTGCCATTTCATAGGCCCCCAGGACAATAATGATATTAGAGGGGGGGGAAAAAGGTCGGGAGAGTGGGAAGTTAAAGTTTGGTCTTATGGGACCTCATTTTATGTCTCTGATTTGTATATATACTAGCCAAATGCTGCCCCCAGTCTTTCAATACAAAAACCAAGTCCAATATGTTCCAGCCTCCCATAAATTACTTTCCAGCTTGTGAGCTTACACTATAAAATTTCATTCATTAATTTCTATATCTATCTATTTTCACATCCTTCAAAGGAAGGCATTCAGCACTCAACTGCAAAATAAATTATAACTAGAGCATAAACTTCATATTTTATACATAAAATTGTGGTCACACAAGCAGAAGTCTAGCATGAGTCTGTCAGACAATTGCCCACGGAAACATTTCTATCTTAAATGGGATGTGCCATTTTCTTACACTTGTCACTTGAAAAAAACCTGAGTGATGCAAAACTGTACTAATTTGATTACAGAAGTCAGCCCATCTCACAGAGCAACCTGAGGAGATCCGACTTTGCTCAAGACAGAACGTCTTGCAGAAAAGAGAGCAGTGGACCTGAGGTGTGGGGAAAGACACGGACAGACGTGTGGCACAGAATTGTTACCAAGGATGATATGAGCTCATCTGGAGCAGTTCTGTTGTAACAGAAATACTGGTTTGTATTCCAAGGTGCCTTTTAACTAAACATTTCAGTTGCTTTATGTTAATGTTAGCCTTTACTATAACAACACACGATTACGTGAATAAAATTATCTTCATATTACTCTACTATGTTATTTGCTATTGCTGTTTACCAAAAGGAACAGTAATAGCTTTACTCACTTGGATGGTGATGTTTCTCTCAGTTTGTTCTGAAGATGATACATTTCATCAAGATGCACATTTGCAATTTGCCCTTTTTCAAGTTCTGTCTCATTCACTGGCAGTAGTTCCTTAAGGTTTTGTGCTGTCCATGTATCAGGTGCTTTTGAAGACTCTGAATTCCTATTTTCAGCGTGGATCTCATAATCCATCAGCTGATGTACACCAGAAAATGTTCTGATTTCTTGCACAGCTGTATCTTGTGCTTGTGTAACATGTCCTTCCGCAGGCAAGGCTGCATCACTCAAAACTCTGTTGGAAATACCACTCGATAAAAGCTGGTCAGAGGTCTGTAAATGAAACACGAACATTTTGTACTTCTCAAGCTCAGACTTCATATTCTTAATTCTTTGTTTCAGTTCTTCTATATCATTTATGACTTCACAGTCATCAAGTGCATCTGTATTTGTTACACTCAATTTGAGAGAACGCAGGCACTTGCAACCTGAACGTGCGGCGGCTGAGTCAATGTCCTGATGTTCCATGGAATAAAACTCTTCATTTATCTCTTCGAATGAACACTGGATATTCACGTTGCTAATGTTATGATGATTTTGCATTTCTGAAAAAAAGGAGGCTTGTGTGTGAATATTAATATTTCTTTATCTGACATTCCGTTCTTAACATCACTAGAATGAATTAATTTACTTCTATAATAACAGAATAAAATGCAGATTAATTATGAACTATACAATATTAGTTTTAGACTTTCAACCTTTCTATGATTTGCCCATTAATTCAACTTGCACATCAAATATTTCAAACCCCTTATCGCTTCTCAAATAAACAATACTCTAAATACACCCGCATTCTTTTCCTAAATGATTGAAAATTACTTTTCTCTATGCAGTCCTGAATCAGACACCAACGAAGCTCAGACCTTTCCAGCCACCAAGATGATAACCTCAAACATAAGGCCCTGAGATTTAAAAGCAGAGTCTATGACTTTAAGTGGTTCTTCATACAAGTTCTAATTAAGTATTCTCTTTCTCCTCACTTCAAAAATCTATACAAAACCAATTGGAGCATAAAGTCAGTGGAATTTTAAAAAGATTATCAACCAAATAGTAAAATTTGAAAAAGGGGCTTTAATAGCTTCTTTTTAAAATGTGTTCTAAACAAAATCCATAAAAATGTTCAGTGTTAAAGGTTTTGCTGACACTCATTTGGCATGCACAGCACATCCCTCAGCTGACTTTGCCGTCCATACGTAATGCAATCAGCCCAGATTCAGACCAATAAAAGCTATATATTCCTACATAGATTCTATGTTTATAGTTCTATGTACGTTGAGGGCTGTATGTGTAAGTATCCAGGAAGATGGTTATCTTCTGGTTACCAGTAAATTCAATTTTCCCCTTCTATTAGTTCTGCAAAAGATCACTACGAATTCAAACCTCCCTTGTGAGAGTCATTCATTGATCTTGCGGAGGTCTTAATACTTCCCAATTGTTTCCATGGAGAATTCGAATGCTCAGGTTCAGGCTCTAAATCAGTACAAAAACTCAGGGGGGTGCAGCTGTATCTGAAGGCCCAAGTCTAGCCCAAGCGCAAAAGAATAAAAACAAATATCACCTAAAAGCAGGAAAAATTGAAGCTGTGATACTGGGATATCAACACATTTGAAATGAAGGCGAGGTGATGCTCTCTGCGGTGTACAGATTGGATATGTCACTCGAGAGGTGACAGAATCACAGGACAGAAATGCTTCCAAGAAAATGCCCATGTATGAATTCGAGAAGACACATTGAGTAAGGGAATGCAACACTTCAGTCCATTAGCTTCTCCTCCTTCTCTGCTAGTTGGTTGCTGCAGTAACACAGACGTCAAAGAAGGTTGTGGACTGAGACGGAAAAAAACCCAGATACTGGATGAACTCCTAAACTCTGTAATTCTGATTTCATGTGAACATCCCAGGCAATAGAAACAGGAAATATAAACAGATATTAAGGAAGAAATATTTCTGATTATAACGCTGGTTATAGTTTTTAATGAAATACTTCCCTTTAATTAAAAAAGAACTAATAAGCTCTCTGAGCATGTATGTGTCCACACACACAATGGGCACACAGAGAGCACGATCCTGCAAACCATCTGACTGGCTCCAGTGAAACCACTTCTACAAATGAAATGAATGACATGACAAAGGATTATGAAATTGGTCATATCCTCTGGAGTCTATACACAACAGGTTAACCAGCTACTCAAGCCTCCCGAGAAAGACTAATGGATGATGCAGAAACATGTAATACACACTATTAAGGCTATTTACATTTTCATTAAACGATTCCATTAGGTTTCATCCTAGTTGAATGCCTTCAAATAATTCAAATAAGCAAAGTTCTATCATTCAATTGCTTCATTCCAATAGTTCATAACTAGATGCAGAAGCATTAAGTAACAAACATTTAATTCAGAGAGAAGTTCAGAAGTGAGAACATTAGCAATACAGATCAGAGTTAGGCATACAACTCATTATTTTTACTGGAAACCAGACTTGGAAATCCCTGTGGCCCTTCCGAAAGCATAACCCTTAAAAGATGAACTTGGATTCTTAGAGCAATTAATCCATACTAGCTAAGAAAATGAGATTTAAAACCCACAAATAACGGCAAGGGAGACAATTACCTGCAGTAATTCACAATTTTGCACAATTCAGACTACCCTTGAGTTTTAATTCCTTTTCTTTTTACACTACACCATACAAATGCTCTACCTTGATAGCTTTGCTGATTTCTGTCCATCGCATATCCATTCTTGCTTTCTGTACCCAGATCAACACCTTGCAACTCCACCTGGACCTCACTATTATCCAGTTTGAGCAATGAGTCAACTGGAGAATAGCAGGGGAAGGTAAAAGAGAAAGCAGTAAGTGACTGAAAAACAATCAAGTGGGTATAGTTAAAAAAACCAACCAACCAAACATCCCACAGATCCAAACCTGGTTCAATGACAATTTGGAACAGGAAAATTATCTAAGGAAGAACAACTATTGAAGATGTAATATGGTCATATGAAATAGTGTTTGCACATACTTTTAAAATACTTGAAGTAATTATAAGGATAACTACTAAGAACATGAATTGCAAAGGCTTCCTACCAACAAATAAAGATAAACTTTTGCAGGTCCCCTTTGTAATGTAACAGTTAATCAATTTTTAGTGCATTTTTAAACATTTCATGTTAAGCTTAGAGTAAAGGCTAAAAAGTTTCTCCAATACGAGGATCAATCAGAAACTAATCTTCTGCAATCTCCCATTGCATCAAGGCTCTGAATTACTGGATGTGCAGTACAACTGTTACCCAGGGTAAAGAAATCAGCGTGGAAAGGAAACCACAGGACTGCAGTCCTACTAGGTTCTGATTCTTTTCAGGATCCAATTCAAAAGTACTGCCCTTCTCAGACTTCTCCATGGATTTTGCACCTACCAAAATTACTTGCTATAGTCCCACTAATCTGAATATTTACAATAAAGCTCTGCCATATCTGTCCCTTACCACAACAACGTTATCATTAACAGCAAAGCCCCTGCAACCTCTGTGTTTGACAGTGGCTCACTTGCTACTTGATTGAACCTTATTTCTTATATTTACCCCTCCTCTACCCTGACCTATCCTTTACATCCCTACTCAGTTTTTAATCTAACTGCTAAGTGTGCCTTTTTTTTTTTTTTACCACTCCAAATCTTTATAAAGTGCCCATTGTTCTTTGCCTTACATTTGTCCTAATTTTGCTGATCCAGATACTTTCTCAACAGCTGAGTTTACATTAACCCAGCCACACTGGAAACAGACACAGATGACTTGACTGATCAGTGGAATACTGGAAAAACTTATTTATGCAGCATAAACAAATACAGTATTTGTCTACTCTCCTGTCTCCATTACAGACAGTTTTCATTAGACTTGGCATCCTATAAAGGAAATTTTTCATTTACCTAAACATTGACATATCTGTGTGCATGTGTGGGCACCCTGTGAAGCTGTCATTTATTATATACTTTATGCCACGTATACAAGGCAATTCCTATTCCATACAGAGCTGTTTTACATTCTAGCACCAAAGATAAAAGACAAAAAAAAGGTGTTTTTCAAGATCTATACATATTTGCCCAGACAAGAAAATGCTAAGATTAAGCAGCATTGTCCGTATGTATAAATGATCCACTTTTACCTCCTACTACAAGAAAAGAAGCCACTATTTCAAGCAGCATTACAAGTCATTATGTCTGCTCTTTATTTACCTCTCACTGATGTGCTTTCCTGTGCAGGCTCTTCTTGAAGGTTTTCAGTTACAGTCTCATTCAATAATAACTCTCCACTTGTTTGTGGCTGGAACTGTTTGCTTTGTACTTCACATGCTTTCAGACCTTCATGAGGTGCCCTGGTACGATGCTGTAGTTTTGAATCTGCATTCTGCATACAGGAGTTCAAAGGCACGTTTCGTAATGGCCTGGATGATTTTAAGAGAACAGGCAGACGGGACTTCTTGGGCTGGCTAGCAGCAGCAGTCTGAAAAAGGCATAGAACAAAATGGGCAGTTGGTAGCTTGCATGTAACAGTCAAGTAAAGGATGTATAAACAAATACTCCAGGAAAAATAAAAAATTTCCAGTAAGATCAGCAGGCTGTCACATTACATCGTTTTGAAAATAAGATTGCAATACCCTTGCAACGTGGAAAACAAACATTAAGAGAGGAAAAAAAAAAACCCTATCGCACTGGTTCAATTTTCTGTAAGTGCTGCTAATGCATCCACAGCCACACAGTGACTGGCCCCAGTTCATGAAGCAAGGCAGCCAATTCACCACTGGCTAGCAGAGGATTTTAATCAGTAGGTTAACTCTGAACTGGTGTATGCCCTATGAAAACAGTTTCGCGCCCAACCGACGTCTCTAACTGCTACTTCCCACTCTCCTGATTTATGTCATAAATGTCTGACAGCCCAGTAAATGTTTCCCTTAAATCCTTTCTTTTTAAATTGAGGATCCTCCAAATTTTTCCTTTCGTCTCCATCCAACAGTCCCTACTTTGTACCACCCTCTTTCATACCATTGAGCAAATCAATATAGCTTTGCATCAGCCGCAGAGGAAATTTATTCTGCCATAGAGAAATTCTTTATGAACAAGAATAGCTTTCACCCATACACTTTACAAATTGCTTCCGTAGGATTCTCGTTTCCTTCTGTAACAGACATTCCGTCACTGGACTTGGGAGGAGGTTAAATTTCTTAAGTCACTGCATTTTAGCCTCTCACCTTTTGAAGACTCTGCATAAAATAAATGTGTGTCTGTTTAAACCACAGAGCATAACACAGTGCTCTCTCCAAAAAGATAAAAACACGCTATATGTTGATGAGAGTTATAGAATTGTGTGTAATAATAATAAAAATCAATAATGGCATGTTCAGACAGATTTAGTTTATTTTTTTGCTGTTCATTTGCTTCACCAGTGTCATAAGTCCCGTAATTTCTTTTAGCACCCAACGTATTCTGAAATACCTTTCCACATTCATTTCTTAGCAATTATAGTCTTTACACAATTTAAAATAATAAAAAGCAAGTTCCATTTTCCTAACGACATACTCAATTCCTTTTGTACATACATGAATACAATATCATCTGGAGGCTGAAAAACAAATCCAGGTGGGATGAACTTCCTGTTAGTTTTACTAAACTCCACTAAAAACGTCGAACAATTTCCAGCTGTCTCAGGGCTGTCATACAGACACATACATCATCCAGACTACCCAAAGTCCAGCTCAGCTGCCTACATGAAATTATTTATAAAAGCCATTCAGAAGCAAAAGATACATTAGTCCAAACAAGAAAGCTTTTAAAGCAACTGACTCAGGGATTGCACTGAGGTTCCAACTGATTAAACTAGAGAGGAAACGGGAATGAATGGAGATGAATCAAAACAGTGTACGGAAACTCAACGAAAACAGGAATTTGAAAAAAGGAGAATTGCAGGCCTTTGCTTGCCTTCAGAGAGAATCTCCTTCATTCCTGAGAGGTAAGACCAGCAACTCGAGACATCCTTAGTGCTCTTAAGCAAAATATCACAAGAAGATCTTCATTAATAGACCAGCTAGGATCTCACAACCCTTCCCCTCTACTGCCCATCTTCACTCTTCCTGACCTCCCCCCGCCCTCATCTCTTCATGTGTTCCTGGGGCCAGCTCTCCTGGGTAGCACCCAGGGATAAAGCACACCCACTCCTTTCTGTCCCAGACCAGCAGGGCAGCCCTGAGATGCAGGAACAGCGCTCACACCACCCAACCTGCCAAAAGTGATGGACCAAACACCTAACAGACTGAGAACATGAACAACAGCCCAAGAGCATTCCTATTATCATCCTATTTCCTCCCCAAACATGATTTTTCTTAAAGGTAAGAAATTTACTGCCAATAAGGAAAGCTTAAAAGACTGAGAATGTACCTGAAGATACTGCGAGAGGTTTTATTACAGGTAAATTGACTGGTGAAACAGGACATTGTTTTTGTGAGCTATTTAGGTTTTTATTTTCCAGGGGTATCATAGCCTATTGCTGAGACTGGCAGGAATTTTCTAGGGTGTTTCCCAGGGACCAACCAGGCATGCCAAAAATCTTCTCCTTAAAATCCCAAACTACGCAGAGATGCTAATGCCTGTACAGAACAAAGTCTTATCAACATCTCTTGGTTTACATGCTCCTTCCTTCAGTGAAACGAATCCAACAAGAACAAGCCAGAACAAAAATGAGTTGCTCCCAATCACTAGCTCACAGAAATCTCTTGATCACTAAAGTCATGGAAACCATTCTTCGCAGAAGGTGCTACAACATTCTCTATTAGCAGTGCACAAAATCAAAAGCAATCCTCTCCTTTGTCTGCTCTGCAAGAGCTCAGATCTTCAAAGAGTTTTCAGCTTTGCTTCTATAACTGCTACTGAAACAATACCCATGAACTCTTCAGTAGAGGCTGGTTTCAAAACCTCTTTGTTTGGGATCACAGGCTGCCTGCGTACAAAAGGCTTGAAAACTTACCTGGCACAAGCAAATTATGTCTGTACTCACAACACAGGCTCTGTGCGCGTCCAAAACAAACATGAAGAGCTGCCCCCCCCGTTTTACAGAGTACCCACTGGTCATGCTTCTCTAAAAGCAAGACACAACAATAAGAAGCTACTAAAAGCCTAAAATCAAGATTCAAGGTTGTTGACATCTACCATTAACTCTTCCCCAGCGTGCTCTCAGACACTATGCAAGTCTTCAATTTTCTAGAATGCATTTGTCATTTTAGACTTAATAAGCTAACAGTTCAGAATGCTCTGGTTCTGCACTTTATGAGCATCTATGCAGAGATATAAGGTAGTACAGAATCAGGACATTATGCTACAAACTCTCTCTTCTTCCAAACGCTATAATATTTACCAGTATCTGGTCCCGGGGAGGATTGAAATTCAATTAATTAATGTTCTAAAGCACACTGAAATATGTGATGAAAAGCTCTGAACATTAACAATTACCTCAAATATATTTGGCTCACATCTCTTTTTCTAATTTTAAAAATTATACAAAAGCAAGATTGAAGATTAGAAATTAAACATATTTTTCTCTTTCATACATCTATTCCCTAAATACCAAAAAGAGAATCTTAAATAAACTTACTTCATTTGTTCCCCTTGTAAGAAAAAGTCTTTCATGCTGTTCACCCTTCTTATACACATTTTCTTGCTGATGTTCTCCTTCTCCATTTAATCTTGAATATTTTGGCTTTTCTTCTGAGGCTCCTTTTTTGCCTGAATCTTTGCCTGAATCTTTGCCTTTTTTGAATCTCATGACATTATTCTCTAAAGTCATTGTTTGTGTAGCTTCATCTTTCAATTCCACTTCCAACAACTCAATATCCTTATTAATCTGTGGCATTGCATCCGGATAAAGCTTCTCGTTCCCATCAAAAGTTGATTTCAATTCCACTTGCTGCTTTAAGAATTTATTGACCTGCTTGAAATGTTTGAGTTCAGCTCTTAGTTGAAAAATCATTTGCCTAAGATCTTTTTCATCCTTTTTCTCTATATCTTCACTTGAACATTCTTGCTCAGTTGTGTTCAGATGATCTAACAGTTCATTTACAATTTTCATTTGTTCTTGCCTGCTGTACTCAGGAAGGAGGGAAGAAAAGGCATTAATTTTGATTTTTATTTAAGCAAACAAGCAACATACCTTATAAGAAATACCTTTGCAATATCTTGACATATTTGAAATTCCCAGATTGTTTTACTCAGTAATGAATTACTCACTAACAAGCAGAGTTTTTGAAACACTTTCACAACATGAGTTATATCATGAACTATCTCATCAATGCTTTTCTCCTATTTATGACCATATGCTCTAGCATCCTTTTCTCCATTCACGAACAGATACTAAACCTCTGGTAACTAAATCAAATGCTTACATAACATAGCAATATAAGAAATATTAATGGATGGTTTACTACCTTAAAAATAACATTCTACCAAAAGCACATTTCTAATGTAACAGGGAAGATGGAAACTGAGAAAGCAGCCAAAAGCCTGCAAAATTCATCTCACTCCAGACCACCAAACTGCCCCACAGATAACTAGTGCTCCATGAACAAGAGTTTGGAAAGCAATATTTTAAGTGAAACTGGAGCCAAGTAAGAGACATTTACAGCATAAGCAAGCCCTCAAATTCTACAGATGATTTCATGCATCCAATAAAGAGCTGTTCGTGCCACTAAACATATAAACCAGAATTTCAAACGACTGCATTTGTATAGTTAGCATCTGAAATAGTAGAAGATAACTAGGCTTTTTATGTGTTTCTCTGGCATCTAATGTCATTAGTGAGAATTAAGTTATGCAAAGTACAGGCTCATCACCAGTCAATCTGGTCTTTTATACTTGAACATAGAAAGGATTACACACTAGAGTGGTAAAGATGATGGTGCTGGAATCACTCATCAGAAGACTTTTGAGTAAAGCTAACAAATAAAGCAATGTTATCCATTCATCTTCTAAGAGGGTAATATCTCTTCATTTACCACTAACTAGGGCTTTGACAGCTAGGACCATTTATGCCTCTTGGAGAGTTTTAAATAGTAATGTAAAAATATAGAATTGCTTAAGTCAAGTGCAGTGCACACAGATTATAGGATTTGACTCTTATAACCCCACAGGATATTCTGCTACCAGCACATATGGAACGTCACTCCCACCACTCTCCAGAGACCCCTATGGCTAGCTGAAGGAACAGCACTGATGGACAGCAAAAAAAGTCATGTAATACTGTGCGTAGTCACTACAGTGTAGAGAGAACTAGGGAAGGAAAATGAGAATGATCTCCAGCAAAGCACGAATTTAGTTTTCAACCAGGAGATTAAGTGGTGTAAGCATGAAATCAGGCGAAACAAAACTAGGCAGGGTGTGTTTTTTACACACACCCTTTTCTTGCTTGGTATTGTCCAGTTCCTATGGAAATGAGCATTTCAGCTGGGAACTGATCAAACCACAGTGTAACACACACACACACACCTGAAAAACATCTGTTACACCAGGGTTTATGCAGATTTAGTTACACAAGTATTTTCTCCTGCATGAAAAGCGACCTAAGTACTTACAACATGGTTCACCTCAGCACAGTCCATGGAGTGGTTACACTGGAATAACCAATTACGCAATTGCAGCACATGGGCACAGACTCCCTGAACTGCTGACAAAGACCAAACCTCTGTCCCAGCAGTTCAGATGAAATTACAAAGGCCACAAAGCATAATGTCCATTCAAAATTAACCCTGTGAAATAGTCATTGTAACTCCAATTCTTCCATCCTCCGTTCCTGACACATCTAATTTTGACAGCATCACACCACCTTTCACTGACCTGTGCTCTCAGATATTTTATAAAAAAAAAAAAATAAAGTACCACCTATTATCATCTGAGCCCTTTAACACTGCTAGACCCCACGCTGAAAACAGTCAGTCCCTACAGTAAAGCTCCATGTATCAGTAACTTCGGAGAGTTTTTTTTCTTGTAATGGCTTTTTCATAAGGATTTTCGACTGATAGTATGTTTCCTAATTACTTAATTGCATGATAGACTAAAATGGCTCTGAAGGCGCCTTGCCAACCTCTCAGGTAAATTAGACAGTGCCATTATCTAAATTCACTTTAGCAAAATTACTTTATTCTCTTCTCAAATAGAAATACTGTCAAAAGCAGTGCATATCCCTCATACTTACGTAGATTCCAGTACAGATGTTCTATTTTCTGTTAAAAGAGATGTGAGCAAGTTCTCTTGTGTTTCATGTTCACTCATTCCTATTCTGCCAAAGTGTTTGCCAGTCGTATCATGTTCAAACTGAGGCTTATTTGGACTGCTATAATGTCTATCTTCGCAGAAACTCTCTGAATAGCCCGACGGAGTAATCTGTTAAAAAATGGCAAACATTTCCTTATTACACATGTATGCAATGTTCTATTAAATTCAGGGCTGTAATCTTTTTGTAATCAGGTTTTGTAATTCCTGATGCTCTTTATCTACATTAAGAAGCATCCACAGACATTTCACCTACTATTTATTAACAGAAAAGCTAATTAACGTCTATTTCATATGACTAATTCATAGTGATCAGTTGTTTAGTAGTGAGTAGATTTCCCTGAAGGTCTTTATCTATGAAGAGGTATGAAACTTCTGGAACGTTGCCTGCAGATTGCAGCTAACTTTTTATTAGTTCACCTTTGAATCATCTGTCTTACAGTACCAAATTCTGTCCTGGGATCTCCAGATGCAAGTCCTGATGGACAAGACAAGATGCAACTTGAAGTGTTTACAAACTGCCAACATTTTGTATGAAACACTGAAGACACGTCCTCGGAAATTTCTGCGTGGGTTCTCTCCAGTACTTCAACCCCCATTTCAATCAACGAAAGTTCTGTTACATGAGAATTTAGACTGGGCCCATTTGGATACGATTTCCATCAGCAGACATCAGCAGCGAGAGATTAAGATGTTTAAGAGTCAAGAGAACCTTTACAATACATCACTTACCTGTTTGTCCACCGCAGAGGGAAAATCCAAAGATACTTGAAGGCATACCTAGTAAACAAGAAAACACAAAAATTACAAAGAACGGAACATCATTATTCTTCAACATCACTAACCAAAATGACCTGGTTTGTGTCATATTTTAGCACGTTATAACTTTTAAACAAGAAAGGTTCAGCTTTAATTGCCACCTATGATTGTCTAAGGTCCCTCGCAACCTGAATTATTTTCCGATCCCATGATGCTTTATATTACATTGCATTTGAATGATAGAATAGAAGGACAGCAGACTCCTGTGTGTATGAAAACACAGTCCACAAGTTACCAAGACATCAAGTATTTCAACCTTGAAGAAGGATCTACAGTATTTTTTCGTGTGTGTGTGTGTGTGTGTGTGTGTAAAGAACCACAATTTCAAAGGACTTTTTGTGATCTCCTTTAAAGAAAACTCTGAGTACTCCAACAAGAGAAAACAAGGACCAGAACGAAAGCTATCCTAACAGGACAAGCCTAGCAGCAGATAAATATAGGAAAAGGCTTTCAGAAACTCTTTAGGATAACAATTAGTCGAAAGCAAAGATACCAAGAGAAGGATGCTTTGTTTGCAAAAGACTTTGTGTTCTAAGAAAATAAAAATATCTAAAGGCATGCAGAGAAAAGCGTACCGTAACATAATGTACCCAGAGCGGAGCCCTACCTGACTGATCCTCTCAGAAAACTGACTGTTCTGCATCTTCCTGTCACTGTCACCATCTTCAGTCTGCATCACAGGCTCCTCTGTTATTTCAAGACACTACACAAAGTATGGAATGATGTGAAAATGTAGCACAAAAAAAAAAATACTGTGATATGAACCATGCATAAATAAGTCAGTGACATGTCTTAAAAGAAAAATAAAAAAAAGCCTGTAATACAAAGTAACAAACACTGAATTAGATTTCTTCAACAAGATCAAAGGAAATTAATACAGAAACCAGGAATGACTCATATTAAAGACAGTGAAACTTTATCTTAGACATGCCTTCATTTTTATTTAACCCTTTCTCCTCAGAATTTACAAAAATACAAAAATCACTTAAGCTCTTCTGGCAAAGGACCCCTGTCTTCAGCCATGTTCTCCTTGTGCCCATTGAATTTTCCAGTCTCCAGAATTTCTCGTCATTTGCTACACAATGTAGGCTCTCCTCCAGCATCCAAGACACAGACACTTTTAAAACAAAGCACATGTAGCTTGCTCCACACTAAAAAGATTTACTGTAACACTGAAGGTTACAATCTGCTTGGTCTTCCCTAAATTTGCCAATTTGCAGCAAAAGTTGCCAAATAATCTTTTCTCTCTGTTTTCCTCTGAACCCAATCCATCTCCCATCACTATTATTTCCTGAACAAAGACGAGAAGGAAAGCTCAGCTTTTTTAGTAGCAGAACCCAAGTTCCTGACATCAGGATCAGAATCCCTTTGGTTGGCTGGATGTTACACCCCAGCAACAGATCCGCAAGCGAGGGACGAGACGCAGGCGTTGGTCCTCTCTCAACAGCAGCGAGACCACTAACTACTGCACAGGCTCCACGTACACACAGCTCACCCAGAACATCTTCATCATCTCATTTACAACTCACCTCCTCTACTCACTTTCCTCTGGCAACACAGGGCAGGATTTAGCCTTGCCTATGTCAGTTTAATACCCATCAGAAGAAAAACTCATATTTACAAAGAACTATTAGATGCTGTAGGTAGATTCTGGCACAGCCTGCCACAGAACAACCCGAGTAAAAGGACAGTCCTTTATCCCAGTTTGGGATCCATCACAAGGGACCTGCAGTTACCATGCTCTGCCGCTCCCCTGCGATAAGACCAGGTTGGAAATTTCTATCATCTTGTTTTACAGCAACATTTCCCAAACTAACAGAAAAAGATAGATATCTAAGATCTGGGCTGCTAGCAAAGATTAAATATTAGAAACGTGCGAGAGCGATGGTAAATATCAAGGATGCTGTGATGCTTAAACCATGGGTAGGATACAGCACAGTGGAATAAAACTTGCATTTTATAAAAATTTTAGTCTTAAAGCACTTGCAGCAATAATATACCACTGCTGTGTGTAATAATCATATTTTGGTGTGACTTGGGCTAAAGAAAAATTACCTTAAGACAAGAAAAGCAGAATCTTGAGCATGGTTACAGAAAATTGAGATTATAGGCACAGAGACTCAGATGACAGACTGGAAGGAAAGAAACTGGTATCTAGGGGTCATGGATGTGATATTTATAGCTTCGATGGATATACGGCACAGTGCTGAAACTTATGGCAGGAAAAGAGAAACCTGCTTCCTCAGTAGCACATGTTGGAAAGTCTTGGCTCACAGCTTGTCACTCCAATTGCAGACAAACAGGATTCTGCAGGGAGCATTATTTTTTGCTTCCCAAGAGCCCTGGGAACGGAATGTATGTGTGGGTTTTGATTTTTTTAATTGAGCATGCATAGAATGTATGTATATATATTTGAAATAAATGAAAAAAGCCTTTTATCCTCCAATCCCTAGCAGAAGAACCAACTCCAATGGTTTTAAATGTGAATTTTAAAAGGCAGAAACCAGATGGTACAGTATATTAATACATTTGCCTTTTACTATTAGTAATATATATTGAAAACTAACTTCCGAGTCATGTTTGAATTAATTTGGGATTTTCACTCAGGCTTGGTCTTCTACAACAACACAAAGTAAAGACAATCTGAAAACTGGAGGAAGACGCAGACAGGTTGTGATATATAGCATTATAAAAAAATATATTTTTTTTTGGTAATCGTGGGATGCCAGAAATCCAATGTCAGCTATTACAAAAAAAACTGTTAAGGTTTAATCTTCCATGTGTAGATTCAAACCCTGCATTTGTGTATTAAAATTAAACTTATTTGCACATATAACTTAGTCACCCAAAGAAACTCCCTTTTATGACTCAACATTTTCTAGTATTTGCTTTTCTCAGGCCAATATTTGGCTTAATAAGTGATGCTTCTTCGAATTAAACTCTTACAGAAGCCCAACAGATTATGGCACACTATTACCACAAATGACTGGAGTCTGAGCCCAGTCTTATGGTTCTATATCTGAGAGCCTGAAAATAAACTTTCTGTGCTCCAAGGAATACTACCTAATGTTCAACAAAACATTAAAAGAAAATAAGTGTCTTAAGGCCAGAAAAGAAGTCTACAAAGAACCAGCTGCCTGTTTAAAGTATTTCCTTGGAGACTGAAAACCTTGAGAATGTTTCCTAAATGAACCACTGACATGCTTGGTTTGCAAAGATCCCCGGAGCCCTGAAGGCTGAAATCACGAAGGCTGCTTCTCTCAGAGAAAGCAGATGTTCAGAGGACAGTACAAAAACAACCTTATTCTCTCCTCCTTCTCCCTCCCTTCCGAACATGATGCCAAGAAACAGAGTACTGGGGGCTGTCAGACCTTTGGGAGCCACCCTGCAGAACCACCGACACGCAGATTCGTCTCATTTGTGCTCTGGCTTTGTGAAAGGGAAGAAAGATGGGTTCATTTTAAGAACCTTACAAGGATACATCTTCCTGTGTCTGTCCAAATTCCTCCTATAGCACATATGTTAGTGTCATCTCAGCAATACCCACCAACAAATTCTAGCCCAAAATACATACAAAAAAATAGAATGTAGGGTTTTTTGACAACGGTTATTAATATGCAAAACACACTGTTGTCACAATCCGTAACCCAAAACCCAGGCAGCCATTTATTGCCAAGACTGATAAAACGGTACCTTTTAAACAAAATGCTTTTAATTACAGATCCCTTGACTTCTGAGCTCCATAGCACTCCTATGATTCTGGCACAAGTTAAAATACCACATTGTACTTTCCCACTTCCTTTATCAGAATTTTGAGGTTTATTAATATTTTAAAAGCTTCACTCTTTCTCATTCTATATCTGATTTCACATGGACTGCTTGTTAAGTATATGTTAAGCCCTATATGTTCTTTTCAAGCTGAGACAAATGCAGGAGCACACAGTATCTTGCCATGATAATCTCAGCACAGGACACGAATTCCTTTGGTATTAACTACGGCATCAGTGGGGGTGCAGCACCCTCTGCAGGGTGACGAGGCAAATTGTAATAATATTAACGTATAGAAAGTGCACGCGCTCTGAAACAGATTGCCCACAAGCTTTTCATGCAAACCTGTTACATTTACATGTAAATTCATTATTTTAATAAAAGCCATGGCACCCTTAAAGGTCGTTCTATAATTTAAAATGTATTTCAATTAAAGGTAATATGAGTATGTCTTCAAATGAAAAAGCAAGAATGTTGAGTGACTTCTGATGATTCCTCCCAGTGCATCTGCAGCACATACAGTAAAGACTCGACCCTTTTCCCAGAGTGCTGCAGAAAAACCATCAATACCACAGTCCCAGTTCTAGAATTAGGCAATCCCTACACATAACTGATTCAAACTCCTCCTAATTTTTTGTTCTTTTGAGTTTACTTCAGATTTAGAAATTCAAGACAGAAAATACTAGCACCATCATTATTCCTTTTATATTTTTACCTTCCTATTCAATATGTGGTGCACGAGAACAATGAACTGAAAGCAAAAATCACACCAGAGTATAAAGAAAAGTACTTCCAGCCACATTTCGAGTAATATTTTATAACAAGCTAGAAGGTTCACTAGAATCTGCCAGAGCCTCCTGAACATCCTTCATCATTCACATGTAATAAGACACATGGGGACCCAGCACCCAAAATGCTTCTCAGTGGAATTATTTTGCCAAGACCTCCTCTTCCCCATAGCTAAAAACAGTCTTATCTTTGGGCAAAAGAATGAAACACCCAGCAGTGATTACTTCCTTGCACCCCTCAGCAATCTACCGCAATGCTGGCCACTTCTTCATATACTTCATATATATTCTCCATGAAGGAACAACCATACATTTCAGTGACCCAAAGTGCTATTATTTATTTCCTGGCCATGGTGAAGCCTAGTTGTTTTGTAGATGCAAAAGAGATATGAACTAAGCTCTTACAGAACTAGACACATATTGCTTTCTTTGTAAAATGAACTATTTCCTCCTCTTTCAATTGGCAAAACAATTCTATCACAGACCCAGTTAGTGTTTTAATGTGTAAGTTGATTCCTTAAAATCAACTTGACACATCACTGAACACTTGCATTGAGCTGACTCTCTGTTGTGCTAAGATCTTAAAGTTGTTTACATCATTAATTTAATAAGTTATCATAAGGAATTAGCAACCTAAGCCCTGAGGGATTTCCAATCACTCTGCATTGATGCAAGTGATTCCACAAGGTATCTCAGATGGGAGAGTCAGATTCACTACTTCAACACAGAAAACCTACCTCGCTGTGGTTCAATATTTTCAGTGCTTCCTTCCCTTGAGAATCTGTTGCGCAAAGTCCAAGCTGTTTTTTCTTAAGTTCTTGATTAATTGACTGCAGATCCTTAACCATCAAGAGAAGATCAGTAACCTAAATAACCAAAGGAAGAACAAGCAAAGCTGCTAACATCCAGACTAGTATGGAAACAAACGATGACATAAATCTCCAGCTACATCTAAACTGCAGCTGGAAAGCCTGGGCTTCTGTACCTGTTCGTAGGCAATCTCCCCATGTATGAAAACATGATTGCACATTTGTGAGGTAGTGTTCAAGAAATCTTAACTCGTAAGAGTGTAATTTCCAGCCATGTTATTAAGCTGATATATCACGTTTCACAACTCAGTAGCAAGGAGAAACCTGAGGGCACCTCCAACCAACTGGCTGATTTGAGAGGAAACATTTTAATGCAAGGGAAACTGGCCTTACAGGGAAATAGCAGCATTCAGAAACAACCTGTTCCTCTGTCTCCACTATCACGCTGTGGAGTTTCACAGATACAAAATCTGCATGGACAATCACATTCAAAACTTTTGAACAGACATTACTGTCACTGACTCATGCAGTATATCAAGAAGGCAATGCTTGCAGAAGAAAGTTATACCCTTTTATTAGATCAATTAATATATTTGGAAAAAACAGATCAGCGTTCAGGAGTACAAACCCTTTTTCAAGTAAGAAACGGTTCATAAATGTCTCTTGCTAATGAGTGTCCCTGAACCTACTGAAGGGAGTATGTTCAGAGATAAAAGTGGTATAACCCCAGAATGGGACTGGGACACAATCTGGGGCTTTTTTTAATCGACACCTGTTCAGTGTAAGGCAAACTTCTTTCCTTCAGATTACCCACCTCCAGATTTTGAACACCTGCCTACAATTCAGCTGGCTATGAGAATATAAAACCTCACTTATGTTCACTCCTAAACGACCATATCATAAATTGGTGCATGGATCAGAGTCAGAAGAACAAGTTTCTGAACTCCAATCCAGATTGATTGTATGACAATGCTCTGCAGATTTAATCTTTGTGAATTTCAGTTCTCCTTAGGTAGAATGGAGATAACATTAACCTACCTCAGGGTTATTTTATAACATTCAGTATTTATCAAAAGATTTGCAAATCCTGGGATGGAGTATGCTGTAAGAAGTATATAGACACCACTCACCACTACTAACTTCATGATGAATAAAGGTGCATGAAATACGTGTTGTAGGATATTCAATGCAAAAACTTTTCTTTGGAGTTGGGATACTTCATGATGACTAAAATACTGTACTAAGTCTTAAACTTGAATCCAGGTGTCTAACTATCACAAAACCTTCGCAACTGTCCTTCAGCTGACTCTGAAGCTCAAGTGGTGTAACAAAGACTAAATAGTTCGTAAAAGGTGGATCACAAACCACCGAGATGAGAACTTCAAATCTTTTCAGAACTACCCGACTCTACCTCAATAAACCTTTTTGTGAGAGATGCACAAACTATAAACAAAGCAGAATTAATCAATTACAGTAAATAATAATTAAAAAAATCAATACCTTTCTCTTAAGTTCTTCAAGAGACAGACGGTCTACCTGTAGGCTTAAATGATCTCGCTCTCCTAAACAGATACTCATATAAGATGTCTGATCTCCACAGAAAGAGACTGTTTCATCTGTCAAAATAAGCAAGGACAGGAATTATTTCAGAAACTCTGTTTGCAGGAAAACACAGCATAAAATGCAAAGACAGGACTTTTTGAATAAGAACCTAGTAGGAAGCCTGTGGGAGGCCAGTTAAAATCTTTCATGCCCCAAAATAAGCTTTCTGTTTAATTGAACAAATTTTGTCCTCACATTTCTTTGTGCTTCTGACACGTAGACATTCTGTATTTGCTGTGGTTATCAGCATGAGTTGTGAAGGTAATTCTGAATTATAATTTGCATATTTAGCATTACAATTAGAAACAATTTTTAAGAAGGATAAGTAAGGCATGAAGAGTTATTCTGTTTTAACTATTATTTTTACAAACATGAACTCAAGGTCTTATTTAGCATTACAATTAGAAACAATTTTTAGGAAGGATAAGTAAGGTATGAATAGTTATTCTGTTTTAACTATTATTTTTACGAACATGAACTCAAGGTCTCAAGGTGAAAAGCCAGGTTAAACAAAGTTATTGAATTTATTTTGCTTTTTGGGTCAAAGGATTGCATACATTGAATTGAAAATAGCTACTTATTCGTTTCCTCTATGACTGCAGGAATGATTTGTTACGTTTCAATAAACACCTGTTCATTTACAATATAGATGACAGTTAATTCTATAAATGTATCTCATTAGACAGGTAGAAAGCATATCTAAACTAGGACAAAGAAGAGACAACCAGATCCTACTCCCAGCTCTGACATCGATCCCATGGCTGCAGCAAGGACTCGAAGCAGCAAGGACTCGAAGCTTCACAAATGATTCCTAATTTTCATTCCTAGCAGCCCCACCCTCAACACAACTCTTCTTGAGAACCCAGGAGTATCCACAAAACCCTGTGGCTGACCTTGGTTGTTCATCATCTCTGTGCTTTTGAGTTCAGAAACTCTGAAATGGCAGAAGCTTACCTTTTGTCACTTATCATAGCTGTCAAGGGAGTGATGCTAAAATTGAAAATCTATGTTTAAAGGGGTAAGTGAACAGGCTTTATTGCTATTTATATATCCCCTATGGAATAAGACACATACATCTGTACATATGCAGTAAACTATATTTAACAACGTTCACTTACATTATTCTTTTCTATATCTAAGTATAAACTAAAACCACATCCAAAGTAGCACCATAAAAAAGCTAGAAGAAAAGTTGTATTTAAAAGCTCTAATATTTCTGAACTACACAATAACAAAACCTCTAGTGATTTTTTCTGTCTCTGGAAATACTTCTTCTGTTAGGAGGACGCTGGCCATTTCCTGAGACACAAGCTCTTTACCAAAGCACTGTGAAATAATTACATTCCATGGTCAGAAAGTGATCTCTGACTTCTGCAGAATACAGTAAATTCTATGGATGCAAAATTGTAGGCAGCTTGAAATGATCACTGCAGGAGAATTACCATAGAATTACTAACATTGACTGCATGGAAAGAGAAAAGCTGTTCCTCTGGATACGCCCTGATTGCTCAAAGACATTCTGTTACAAATCCTCCAAATAATTTTCAGCACAGAAAGCTGAAAATAAGTTTTTCACACCTTTTTCTACTCTCAAACGTTTCTTCTCCAGCCCAGCAAACTGACTGTAATAAAACCAATTTTCTTTTGTGCAAGAAGATCAAGAAAAGGGATAAGCTGCACATGGATACAGACCTTGCCGGCTTCTCATGTCCTTAATCTGATCTTCTAAGACCTTCTGTAGATTCCGATTAGCTAAAACATCTTCTTCTAGTTGTTTTCGCAACATGAAAATGTTGTTTAGTTCCGTTTGCAAGCTATTTATACTGAAAAAAAAATAATATCTTCAAGATTCAATTCAAAACACTTTGTTGTGCACCTCAGCATCTTTTCTACATCCAGGCTTCAACAAAGACCCCATTTCACACCAGACATCGCTGTTTTTCATCACATCATTTTGATGCATTAAAATAAACAAATCCCTACATAGAAAGATAAGACTAAATCTTTACATATATGTCTTTTTCATGCTGTTTTGAGCTGTGCTGCTCCTAAGTCAGCTTAAGCATGACAGATATATCCTACCAGCCAACTCCTGTGTAATTCTTCTTAAGGAAAATCAAAATTGCTAACTTCTGAAAAGTATGCTAGAAAAATATCATCATCACATAATACTGATGGCTCTGTGTATTCCATTATATGGTGACCATGGAAACTTTGTTCCTTTGCTACAGAAGTATACTATATAATCTAATGCTCCACTTAAGAAAAAAAGAAAAAAAACCCCCACATTTCATTGAAAACATGACCCAGACACAACTATTTTATTTCTTCACTTATCCGACAGTCTGTAAAAAGACCTTTTAAGGTCTAAATTGGCTCAATTATCTCAATGGGGTGTAAATGCCAAAACTTATAAATTACAATTTGTCAACATGACTTAATTCTTTAAGCAGCTTTCTGCCAAGGTGGCCACTGAAGCTCTTACTTTAGCATCAGTCACTGTCCCTCAGGCCTCACGGTGTCAGCGCCTCTAGCTGTCCCTCGCTAGACCTTCCCCATACCTTCAACAACATCAGCAAGACAGTTCTGATCAGACCGGAAAAAGACTTAAGAATACTAAAAACTGAAATTGTAATAAAATTAAATAAACTGGATTTAATAACAAATAAATAAGGAGTTACTGAAATCATTGTATTATTTATTGTCACACTTACTTCACTCAGAATGTCAGTGTTTTAAGATCAACTAAACTGCTGTAGAATTTACAATCCACTGCACTAAATGCCAGAGAATTCAAGAATCTTTAAAAAAAAATTTAAATCCATCTTACAGGGGGCTATACAGGAACACACAGCACATCATACTTGCATTAGAATAACAGCATATTGTAGAAATGCATTAATTAAGAGACAGCATGTATGAAAAGACTCTGTCTTCTGACAAGCGTGCTGTTGTCAGTGTTTCCTGCACGAGAAACTGTCGCTTTAACCAATTCTCCCTCGCTCAAGAATATCTTTGAAGAAAGAGCTCTGAAATGCTCAGCAAGAAATTAAGAATAAAAACATACCAACACATTACTAGAAGCTAAGTAAGCACATTTTCTCCTTTTCATGAGCTAAAAGTTTTATAAGAAAAAGCACTGATTCCCCGCTTGGAGAGACAAGAAATGTCTTGGTCCTGACATCCGGTAGCTTATTTTGAAAAATAACCATCTAGGTTGCTTAAAATAAATAACGCCTAAAAGAAGATATGTCAGCAAGAAAACAGATGTTTGCCTAAAATCCATGTCACTGCTGATGGCAGTTGCACAAATGAGGAAGCTGAATTTATCTGCAGGGCTTGTTTATCAGCTCCCCAGAACTTTGAGGGTTCAAGTCTTCCTTGATGAGATTTACAGCGTGTCTCAGACCAAAAAACTACAAGGGGGAGAAATGAGAAGACTTGCCTTCAACTTCCAGCCCTATTGTTGAATCATTGCACATCCTCTGTGCATCCGATAACTCCAGATCAAGATAACGAAACTAATGATCCTGCTCCTGATTCTACAGAAGTTAATTGGAAAACTCCTATTACCCTCATGATTATAACTACAGTTATAATTTTCCTCATTTGAAAGATATTCTTAGAAAAACTAGTATCGGAGCTATGTAACTTCGTTGTCATCACTACACAGAGCACTGACAATCGCCTTACCTGCAGAACGTGTTCCAGTGGCAGGTCACACCCTCCACAGGAAATACTGAAACAAACTGGCCTCTTCCTTTAGTGATTGTTCAACAGAAAAGTCACAACAGCTATTGCTCTTTCCCCAGAGACAAGAAATAATCTCCATAATCTGATTTCTATCACTATTTCTAATGAAAAATCTAATATTTAAAAGAGCTTCTGAGCCGTGGCCAAGCACAAGCTGGCATCACTATTAATGCCCTTAATTCAAATACCAGATCTCATCTACTTTAGTGGAACTCACTTTATGGCTTCCAAACTATAGTGGTCTATAAACCAGTTGCAAAATGCAAACACACATTCCCCCAAAGTTGGCAGGTATAAGCCACTGCCTTCAGAAAGGCAGAGTCAAGAACTAGCACCCAAATGCTGCCCATACCTAGTTAACATATCTGCAATTATAACAGTAATTTTTTTATAAAACTTTTAAATTTATTTCACTAAAGAATAAGAGTTTTCTTTATTTTATCATAACATCTTATTTTCAACTGCCAAGCAATAATAGGATACAAAGTAGGCCAGAGATTTATTTCTAAAATGTTGTGTTCTTTGATTTTAAAAGGTTAAAATACACTTGCTCTTGCCATACTTCTGAATACTTTACATTGAAAGCATATGATACAAATGTCAATGGTTCTGTTTTGTTCAGCCTTCTCCAAAATCTTACTGGCTTATATTCTCACCAAAATTCTCACAGTGCCACTTTTAAAATAAGCATTATCTGTATTTTAGGAGTAAACCATGCCAAATCTTCCAGTCACTGTGATTTGATTCCTCCCCTGTATTCCAACACAGGACATGTAGATCTGAAAATCCAGCTGCTTACTTTGGAAATCTGGCTCATCTGAGATTCTAATCCAAATAGAAATACTTTCAGAAACATTCAAATAATTTAACTAATATTACCCCACTTACAAAAATAGTTATCTTTTAAGGAGACTCCCACAGCTAGTCTATGTCTTAGGAACAATTGGCCAGTACAAAATAATCACCACTCTAGTTAAGCTGCATCTTTTTTCACAACTTCTGACTTTTGCCCTTTGAGTTTAGATTTTCCACCAAAACAGAAAAAGTATTTACCTGTCTGATTCTTTGAAGGTCTTCACTAGTGTAGAATAAATATTTTGTTCCTTTCTTAAAGCAAGGATCAGCTTTTCATATTCAGCTTCTTTATTTTCCTAAATTAAAACAAGAACACACTAAGCTTACAACGTCATTTTGAAGTTTGCATGTCTACAACTATGTGTACACCCGTGTTCTAAAGAAAACGTGAATGAAGTAGAAATCCAAATTTGCTGAACAGGACTGCCCACCTCCAAAGCCTAATATGAATCTGGAACTATTCATGATACTTAAAACCAGCTATTATTACAGGAGGCAAATAGTGGTTTGCTATTGTCCTACCCTGAGTCACATATCTAAACATTGGTTCATCATTTTTATCATAGTTTAAAAAGCTTTCCCCCCCCCCCCCCCTGCCCCTGACATTTTGCTTTTTTAAAACACCCTCCCCCCCCCCCCCAGCATCCTTATTTCCAAAGTTTACAACTTAGTGACCCAGGAACAACCTGGGCAGCAGCTGTTTCAGAGAAGGGAAAGGGAAGCTGAGAAGCCCAACTCCAAGCACACATTTTAGAACATCGTCCCAACAGCCCTCTCCATATTCTGGATAAAACAGGCTTTCTTCAGAAGAGGGGTTTCTGCAAATTCTGTTCCACTTCTGAGCAAAAAAGGACTGTATCGAGCTGACAAAGGATGAACATGTCAGACACACACACGTTGAGTCAGCTTTCTGCACACTCAGCCGGGTCACCGCAAGCTGCTTCTTTACTTGAGCAAAGAAAAGAAAATTGTTTACCTGCAGTCTTGCTCACAGAAGGTATAATATCATCATCATTATTATTATTATTAGAATAAATCCAGACTCTTTTGCTACATTCTCAGTAAGGATCCACTAAGTTCCCAAGACTTTTTCACTCCAAACCAACCACACAGCCACGTTTCCAGCGGGAGGCAAGAAACGCAGCTATTTAAAGGAGTATTTGCTTGCACTTATTACATACAAATATCTCCATCAGCCATCTCAGAAGAGAAAATAACCGGGATATCTACAGCAAATTTAGATGTATTAATGTCAGACACATATATTCTGTCTCTGTTTGAGAAGAATACTAGGCCTTGTTGCTTCTCTCAGTTTTTTTTTTCAGCTGAAAACTGAAAGGAAGAATTTAAAAAGTGCCACAGCTAAGGGGGAATGTTTACGGCTCTAGCACCACAAGACAACTCTGGAGAGCAAAAAATGGAAGGTAATTCTATTTTCTCCATATTACAACCTCAAGATTGGAAACTAAACTCTCAAGAGATACTAAATCATTAGTGAAGAGATCATTAACAAGGAAGAAATCTACACCCAGGAGTTTTAAGCAGCTGTTATTACTCCAATTGCAATTCCTTCCTAAAGAAGGAATTGGAACAAAAATTCAGCTACAGTAGAATCTCGTTAATTCACACTAACGATGCAAAGACTCTGCTAATTTGAAAAAATCAGTATTCTGCAAAGTAAACAGTACAAAAGCAAGGACAACTGTTGTTTACTTTTAATTATTTACACTCATACTTCACAGTATGCTAGCAAATATGTTAAATAATATTTTGCAAGTGTAATCAAGTTTTGATCAAATTACTCCCGTGAAGGTAATCTGCATGTCAGATCTCACTGCAGAAAGAGTCGCTTACACCACCTAACGCTGCGGAGTCTTTGGAGAAGCGACCTTGCCTTTGTGCACTTGCATCACGTTCATCTACCATCCTTCCTAATGGTACCTGTGTTCTAACAAACGTTTCCAGGTTCCAGTGCAATTCATACATTAAATACCATTCTGTATATGAAGTGCAAAATACTGAGCTTCCGATCCAGTTTATTATCTAGACGAGCAGAGGAGGAGCCCACAGCAAAGGCTTCTGCTGACTGAGTACCGAGAAACACAAAGGCCAGCAGATGGAGGTGGGTGATCCAGAGTCAATTAATAAAAAAACTCACCAAAAAAAAAAAAATGTTAAAAGGTACATCTTACAGCCTGAATTAAGGAGTCTTATCAATGTATTGGAATCTCAGCCCTCCAAGAACAGTCACTAAACATAAAACACACAGATTGCAATTTAACTTGGAAAAAGGTTGATCAGAATGACACTGATCAGTGCCATAGAAAGCAACGGGAAGGAATAAATCTTTTGACTTAATTTAGTCAGTTAACAGACTGTTAAAAGTTCTAGTGAACTCTTCCATATGTCTCATACAAGCCTTGCAATTATTACTGAAGACACTACAGAACTATACCCTAATTAAAAGCTCTTTCCAAAGCACTGGCAAAGCAATGTCACTCTGAAGAGTTTACGGTACAGAAATTAGATAACGGTTGTCACCGGTTGTTCAGGGTTTATCGCTGCGGCGTTAACTAAGCAGCGTTACACACAGAACCATCCTCCGGCTCCCTAGGCTTCTTTTAGAATTCACATATTAATTTAGTTCTACATTTGCACCAAAATCTCAGTAAGCTTACGAAATCTTCCCAACTCTTTTTTTTTTTTTTTCTGCATAATGGGAGACATGAGCTGTTTCTTAATTCCAAATGCCACAGACCATACACAAATGATTATGAACTCTAAATTCAATAGCTGGGTAGAGGTTAGCAAAACCATGAAGAAGTGCTCCTGATTTTTCAGAATCTTTCATGAATAATAAGGATAAGAAGACACAGCATAAACAACTCTTTTTTTTTTTTTTTTTTGGTACATTATTACTGTCATTTCTAAATAAAGCGTAGGAGTGAACTATTCCAATCAACTCCCCAATGGTACACAAAACATAAGGCAGCTCTGTAACTTAAATAGACCATAATGCTGTGGGAGTTAATGAAACATTAAACCTCTTGACACATGGTGTGAGGGAAAATGTGTTAGAGGAGATAGCTGCAAGACATCCAGGACCATATTGCAGTGAAAGATTTATATTCCCATGAAAGGAAGCAATCTAATACATTAAAGTCTATATTTAAGTCTGAAATACTATTGCTAAGCAGAAGTGGTGGAAAACATAACTTATTTTCATTAAAGGTTTCTCAAATTGTAAGCAATGAAAGTAAAAGGTTTATACCTCCACGATAAATAACTTACTGGCAAAGTCACAATATCCAGCTGCCTCACTGAATACTCTCTTGCTTACAACAATCACCAGGACCATTTCAAAATCTCTGAAGGTTAGAGGATGAATGATTGAGAGAAGCCATAACCTACACCTCATCCCTGATCCATCCATCCATCCATCCATCCGCACCAGAATCTGGTAATTTCTCTAACATTGCAGTAATCTTTATGTACGGTCTACCATAAATGAAGCAATCACTAACAATTTTATTAGGGAGTATTAACTCCCTAGATACAGGAGCAATTATAAGCAAAGTCAAACAATGTGCTGATGGTACAGGAATGAGAAAGTGCCTTGTGTCTGCACAAACATCCCACTTGCCTTGCAGTGTACCAGCTAGCTACATTTCCTGCTTCAAGATGTATATAAGCTCCCCTTCCCAAAAACAGACATCCTGGAAAGGCTACGTTACAGCAAATCCAAGAATCTTTTTACACTTCCAGAAATCAATTTAGAATTAAAACTCAGATCACTGTGGCCCTCTAGTGCAGTGTACGCTGTGTGCAAGATGACACGTGCAACACAACAGAACCCAGAAGCACAGCTCAAGGACTGAACTAAGAGCAACTTTTCTCAATTTTGCTGCTTTTCTGAGTACTAAAGTGAGCCACAAAGGTCTAAAAAAAAAAATTTTAGAAATATTTATTTATATATTTACCTAACAAATGTTTCAACAAAAAGAGCTTTGTAACTATAGGAGTATTGGTTGTGAGAGAAGAGCATTGAGCACAAAACCAGCTAAAGTTTTCAAAATTACATGGAGTCCACTGCATTTCTAAATTCCTTGTCTGTAAAATGTATTTCATTCTGAGACTTCATAGACACCAGAGTCAGCAGTTGCATGAGTAACCTAATTATCAGTGCCCTCGCACACTCTCTCTCTAGCCCTTGACAGTGGCTCAAGAATTCAAAGTCTAATTAGAAACTGTCATTTATCTTCCCTGGTCTGGCCAAGGCACCCAACAGAGCTTTGGATGTTGGTCACTTTAAAATTTATCGTTACATTAAAATAAAGTAAAAAGGTATGATGAAAGACAGAAAGTTCTGCATCTCTCAATTCAGTTTCTTCAACTTTAAAGATCAGTGAGGCTAGAAGAGCCCAGTTTCTCCTCTCTCTGGTGGGGAGGATCCAGCTGTGCGTTTGTTGAGTTGGTGCAGCACTGTAAAGTCATCAAAGAGTCCGAGGCAGCCAATGAGCGCAGAGCTCTGGATAATCTGTGTCCAAAAACTTACGATTAATATGCCAAAGTGGGTTCTTACAGGAGATATCTGACACAGAGGTTGAGCTGCGAGGACAATGGGTTGTGATTAGGTATTGTTCACAATCACCAAGTGAACCGGCAATAGAGAATAGAAGGTGATTAGAAGGTGGATTCTGGGTCATTACCATGCACGACTTCGCCTGCCACCCTCCTCTCTCCTGGTTGTACACCTGCATTGGAGTGGGCTGTACAGAGGAAAGTCAGCGTTTGATTTTCATTAATTCTGTATGATTTGCCATCACTCTCAGGTGCCTTTGTGATAGAAGTCACATGCGTGCACTGCAGTTTGTTTTACAGAGGTCAAATTTCTACTCAGCCTTTCACAGACTTTATTTTCTCTGCATGTATATTCATATATACTTCCATACACTCTGCACTGCTACCCTGGCAAACAGCCATGCAGCTCCTTTACCTTGTCAAATAACCCCTGACTCAAAGTGTGCTTGCTTGTTGAATAGTAGTGCCCATAACATATAAAGTGTCTCATCACTAGTGTGTTCAGAACGTGGCATAGGACTCCGTTTCCCTTCCCGTTGGCTCCATTTGTTTCCAACTTCCTTGAGAAAAATCTCATTAATGACTGATATACTATTAAAGAAACAAATTAGCTTCCTCCATCATTAGTACGTACTAGTCTAATTCTTTTTACTTTGCCTGATGCTTTGGAGATGTTAACACACTAGGTTGCAAACAACAGAAAAACAGACAAGAAAAAGCAGCTTATTTGTTCACTAATCTGTACACAATAACAAAAAATACACTGATGGAGTCAGCAAGTGATTCAAAAACTTGTCAACAGTACTTGCTAGGTGGGCCTGCAGCTTTGAAGCCAAAGTCAAAATTCTGTTCAATTTGAAGTCAAAGTATTTATCTGCAAATGATCAGAGTTACGAAAAACTCACCTCTAACTCTCTGACTATCTTGATGATTGACTGTTGAGACTGTGCAGCATATTTTTCCTTTAGTAAGCCCTCATTTTTCAGTTCAAGTTCTTCATTGGCTCTTAGAAGGTTATTGTACTTATTCAGGAGCTCCTGCAATTCTGCATCCTTCTCTTTAACTGTTCCGTCAAGTTTCTAACAAAAGAAAACAATGAAACAGTTTTACAGAAATTACTCTAGTTTTATATTGCGAAGCAGAAAACCAAACAAAGTCCAGGAGAATATCCAAGGATGCTTTGGGATATATTCTTAACTTACCTTGCAAAAGAAGAGTTGAACTTAACATAGTAGAAGCTAAAAAAGACCAAACAGAAACTTTGCCCAGCTATTCAGCCCTTTAAGTATTAAAAATTAAGTTAAGGCATGCACTTTGGTCCCTAGGTATAGAGTAACCCCAACTATTACTCTTTGCATTTGCATTGCTCCCTGAATACCATCAGTACTTTTCAGGGTTATACCTCCAGCTATAAAAAAAAAAAAATCGAGCAGGAGTCCATTAACATTCAGGCAGTTCCCTTCACACACACTTTATTTCGAACGGGCCCAAAAAAAAACAAACAAACAAAAGACTATTTCACCATCTATACCTATTCCTCAGCTTCTGGTTTCTGCACAACAAACTGAAACTCATCGGCACTTCAGAGCTTTTTTAAGTAACTTGCCACAACAGTGAAAATCCTACATAAGTATTAGCAAAGCTTTCTTCCTCCTCTGTCCACACGCTTCATAAAACCCTAACAAGAAATCTTGTTGAATGCCACACACTTTGTAATTATATGTCTGTTCTGCAAATACTGTATTATAGAAAGGGAAGGATTACCATCAGAGCCAACAGTGATTTCAAATACAAATGTGATTTTGTAATAACTCTTCATACAAAAGCAAATGATAACTTTCCATTTTTCATTTTAACTTAAGTCTACCTACCTGAAGCAGTAGATCCTTTTGATTGACATTGTCTGTTAGCCGCTTGATAACTAGTTCTTGGCTCTGCAACTTCTGATTGCTTTCACTCAAAAGAATATTGTAATGATGTTCAACTGCTTTTTCCTTCTCAGTCATTTCACCATGTAATTTCTCTAGTTGATTTCTAAGGTCCTATAAAAAAAATGAAATTGAATATTTAGCAAATCAACTTTAAAAAAAGTTTCAGACTAACAACCCATGTTATCGGCTTAAGTTTCCATTGCTTTAAATTACTCACATTCCTGAATAGTCTGGAGAATGCATTTAAGCCAGTCCTTCTCTAGGCACCAATGAATACAATTAAAGAAAGAAAACTTTCAGATGAGGTGTCAGTATTGTCTTCTAAAAATCTAGGCTGTTATCGCATAAATGCTTTTCATACAGAATGACTGGACTTCAAGGCTGTTGGGAATATCATGCATGTAGATGTTGTCACTGTCAGAACGAACACACATTTCTGAATCAATTTCCTCCCTTGCTAGAAAAAGGGAGAAAATTGGCTATGGGTGATTTGGTTTGTCATTTGCTCTTTTTCTCATCACATCATGGAGATTCTTGCACTACCATTGTATTACTAGTCACTTTTGCCTCAAACAAAAGGTCAGAAACATTAAAACATTTTCTTTTGATAACAGCAAAAACTTCAAATGACCAATCAGGTCTGTCTTATCTACAGATCCTGTAGGAATCCTTGAAAATCCACCATCTGAAAATGTAGCTATCTACGGGGTTTCGAAGTCTGACCAGCTGATAAAGACCTTGGGTTCCAAGCAATAACATCAAACAATTCCTATTCCTTACATTTCGCTACAAACTGGGACAATTGCTAAATTAAGAGAAATAAGTATGAAATTATTAACATGCAATTAACAGTCAGTTCCAAATACAAAGGGATAGGCAAGAGCACACGGCAGTAGAAAAATCCATATCTTCTCTTCCTGCCAACTTCTCTCCCAGCACCACTGTTTGTGTCATTTAAACGTTTTTGCTGATTTGTTGGAAGTTTCAACACTGGCCATTGAAGGAGGCATAGCTTGTACATACACTAGTCTCATTAATAAGCTTTTACTCTGCAAGAAGACCTAGAGCATTCACTCCATGCATTGTGTGGAAAAAGAGAAGGAGAAACTTGTAACAAAGGAGCTGTCGTCCAAAATTAAACAATTAAACTTTCAGAAGACTTTATACTATCTAAACTTCTCTTCAGACCCAAAGAACTAGGTAACACAGCCTACAACTTTAAATAGCTGTTTTCCATTTATTCCCCAAAAGGGCCCATTTGTGAAATATCATAAGCCCTTTAGATAGTTTGCACATATGGTAGTCACCTATAAACTTTACATTTACCTCCACTGGGATTTAAAATTCAATAGTTGTTTCTTATTCTAAGTACAAAGAAATAGTACTAGTGACACTTTAATTGCAATCTCTTTACAAACTGCTTTATGTCCTTTTCTTGACTTAATTACCTCGCTCATGCAGGTTCACATCAAATCCTTAACATCATTTTACTACTTCAGTGGTTTACTTCTGTTTATTTTGCACATTAAATACAAATTGTCCTTTACAATGCTTTTTGGTTTCCTTGCTTAATTTTAGCTTCATTACCAGCATTCAGCTAAGAAATCCCTAATAGCTCCCAAAAAAACTCAAATGTTATTCAGTTTCAAAGAATAATTAAGCTTAGACCTTCAGTTCTGCAAACTAATAAAGACTTTTTTTCAGGACCAAAAGAACTACTTGCTTGACTAAGAAAACTGAAGGACTGTAGAATCAGGTCCAAGTTTTGTCTCTGATATGTTTCTATTTCTTCCTAACAACTAACTATAAATATAAACTGCAGTGTAATGCAGTTCTTTGGGAATTAGTGTAAGGTCTGATAACAGCAAAGTATTTTGGCTTCAAGTTGTGGAGCTCAAGTGGGTCACATTAAGCCTATTCACATCCAACACGTGAACTGGGAGTAAAGGACCAACCGCAGCGTTACGATTTTCACTGCTTTGCACAATTCACTCCTTGGCTTTCTATTTTTGCATTGTTTCTATACTACTACATCACCGAGAGCCTTTAAGTGAATACATTACCTATGTATGTATGTACGTACGCAAATGAATTACATTACATTTAGGCAACTAAACTTCAAAGGAACAGTTTTGACCTGTCCTATACCTTCAAGGGATCAATACTCTGTGACTCCTCTTTATGAAAACCATGAAGAGCTTTAAGAAGGAAAGATGACAGACATGCATAGATAGAAGCAATGCCGCTGCAATAACAGTACTATACCCCCTATTCTCTAATCAGAGTCATTTTGATGTACAACACTTGTCAACTATGCTTCTGCCTTTAAAGCAGCACAAATATTATGGGTAGGTTTATGGAAAGAGGTGGACTGACAAGGCACACAATTGTGGAAAAAGTAAAAAAGCCTGCAAGAGACTTGCAATTTGCCGATACTTTGCCTCTACTATTTCTGCCCACGGAGTTCCCTAAATCTTTCCCAAAACAAGCTAGAGTTGAGACTGAGAATTATCTTCTTTGCATGAGCTAGAATTCTGTAACACACAGAACTATCCATCACTATAGCAGGTTGCTTGAACTCATTGACCACTCAAATTGTCTGGGAGAAAATCTATTGGTTTCTATACATCGAGTTGCAAGGATAATATAGTACCTCCAGTTCTCTGAGCATAAACTTTGCAATTCCCTCCGCCAACCTTTTTTCCCCAAGAGACTCTCCTATGATTAATGATGGGTGAACTAAGAAAAATGAATGTGAAACACTATAATGTAAAAGACGGGAGCAGATGCCTCCCCCTCCTTGTCAGATGGAAAACAGGTTGGTGAATAATTAAGTTGTGAAGCTCCAAAACCTCCCTCTCAGGCTAAACTACAGGTAGGTAAACAATAAATTCTGCCTAATGAGTTATTCTGCATTTCCCCAACCAACTGATCAAATATGAATACCCAGTAAATACAATCTAATTGTCTACATTTAAGCCTGGAGAGAGAATGGATACTTCAAGTGTTTAATCATGTAAATTTGAACAAACTCTTCGATCAAGAAGCACTGAGTCTGTTACAGACACAGTAACACTGTGGACACAAGCAACATTAAGGATGAGTTGATGTTTATTCCTCAGCAGTTGTATGTAAGAATAGATGCCCAAAGTTTCTTGTTTCAAAGAGCCTGAAGTGATGCTGAACTACAGCTTAAGAGCAGCTTCTGGGAAGTACAGAACTGAAACTTTTTGCTCGTAAAGTTGACCTAGTAAAAAGCCAAAGCACCCACCCACCCTGAGACAGGGACATTGGTCAAGAACATCTAAACCCACTGCTCCAGAAGACTCAGAATGCTGGGCACAGGCTTTGATTTGATCAGATCACATGTAGCAGTCAGTGAATTTAGTCTAACCTTCTTCCAGTCCAGGCCAGTAATGCCCAAATCCCCTCCAGGAAAACTAGGTTTACAACAGGGCAGAAGTACTTTTTCTGAATCTCAAAGAGGTTTGGGGGGTTTTTCCTTGTTTTTTGTTTCTGTGATTTTAAGTAGATATATGCAAAAATTGGGATTATCCAAAATACAGTATATGAATAGGCATTGAAAGTTTCCTGTGAGTAAGTGAAGAGCTAAGACAGAAGTTCATTACAGGGCATTTTCTACAGTTTATGCACATTCTTGCTAGTTTTAGTCCAACAAAATAGAAACAGTGACAAATAGGTATCTCAGAGCATAAATAGAATAGAATTTTTAAGGCTGTCTCATAAAAAGTTCCCATCAGATCACTGAAGCGGTTTTCTATTTGTCAAAAAGCAAAATATCACAGCATTTTTTTTTTTCACCTCCACATATCTACTACTTAATGGGCAACATTTCACCAGCAATGTTGCTCTATCCAAATGTACTAGCACCTCCGAAATTGAAGCAGCTGTTCTGCAAGCAGTAGGAAATAGGTTAGGGATATAATTTTTATAAGACTGCTCATCTTTT